TGTGTGTGTGTGTGTGTGTGTGTGTGTGTGTGTGTGTGTGTGTGTGTGAAGGTCACAGGACAACCTGTGGCAGGCAGTTCTCTCCTCCTACCACGTGGGCCCAAGGATTGAACTCAGATTGTAAGGCTCGGCAGTGAGACTTTACCCACCAGGCCACCATCTTCCTGAGACTCACTCTTAGCACCTTTTGTCCTGTCTTTGACTGGGAACTCTGCCTCTGGGCTGAGGAGAGTACAAGACACAGGTAACACTGGGACCAAGAAAAGCCGCAGTGCACACCTGTGTCTTCTGAGTCCACTTTTCACATCAAGGTTGGGAAGAAGAGTTCTTCTTTCCTGTCCCCCTGGAACAATCCACCTTCTTCATGCACCTGAGACACAGGTGCCTCAGTGATCCTTCAGTAACCTAGACATGATAGCGCTAGCGGGTTTGCACAAGAATCCAGGTGTAGTAGGAAACACTGGGAATCCAGAAAGTGGACTAGTCAACAAGACCAGAACTTTGAGATCAGCACAAAGATCTAAGCACATTCCCGCTGTGTCTGGCAATCACAAGGGTGTCTATGCTTCAGAAGGATGTGACAGAACCTCTGGCAGCTTCATGGACAGAGCGGGTTAACGGGAGCAAGGGTGAATGTGGTGTGCAGATGCAGACTGGACACCAAACAGCTCAGGAATCACACGGGGCCCAGAAGGGTACTCTACCCAGGGCTGCAAACCTATTCAGGGTCACAATTTTTTCTTTAAAAAAAAAAACCAAAAGACTGCCTTCTCTGTAGCAATGCTCAAAGGCTGTCACAGCGTATTTCACGGTGTCCACACATCACTCACATCTACTTAAGATTGGTCTTTAAACCAAGAACAAATCAAGAGGCTGGATTAGTGAACAAAATTTATCTTCCTCTCCCCGTCCCCTCATCCTTTTTTTCTTTCCTCTTATTTTGGGAAGGGGTAGAGACAGGATCTCACTCTACAGTTCAGACGGACCCCAAAATACCAGGGATCCCCTGTTTCCGATTTGCAAGTGCTGAGATTACAGGAACAGACTACCTACACTGAGCGATCTTTCTATTATTTTGTGAATAATATTATTATTTTCATTATTTTGTGAATAAAATATTGGCATGTCCATGGCAGCTTAGATATGATGAAACGTGATATAAATGCATATTCTTTTGGTATGTGTAATACTTGGTTATTTAAATACTATATGAGACATCAAAGGACGGCACGAGAGCACGTCCCTGTAAAGCTGCGCTGCTGCTGCTGAGGAGTGCTCTATTTCGTCCCTATAAAGCTGCGCTGCTGCTGCTGCTGAGGAGTGCTCTATTTCGTCCCAGGCTCGCTGGGCACATGAGTGGTGTGAGCTTACAGACTGCGTTTTATCCCGAGCCTGGAGTGGACTCAGCGTTACCAATGCGAAGCTGCTTTCTGTGCCCGACTCCTTGGGAGCATCACCTAATGGACAGACATACACCTAACAGGAACCAAATGTCTTAGCAGCCTCCTAAGATTGCAGAGAATTTGCTACATGTTTCCAAGCATCTGCGTGACAGGCACTATGTCTTCCAATCGTTAGCAAGAACTTTGCAAGGACTCTGTAATGGCAGACTCCCTCAAAGCCCTGATGAGTCTAACGGGACTGGATGTAGATCACGGCAGAGTCTTTTCCTCACCTCAGTGTTCTTTGGCTCTTCAGTAAGTTCTGCAGGCCCAGGAGCCCCTCTTTCCTTTCGGACCAGTTGGAACTAGCACAGTGGTTGAGAACTTCGGCTACGTCCTCAGTCTGCCGCAGATAATGAGGAATGCCACCGTTCCTGGAGCCATATGAGCGCTCAGAGCACACACTGGAGGCGTCGCTGTTGGCGTCATCGTCAGAGTACATTCCATAGGGCTCGTACCTCCTCCTCACAGGCTTCTTCTGAAATGTCCCATGAGGGGCGGGGTAAGGAAGAAATGGGAAGGGGAACGTTCATGAGTCGTTTACTGACAACTATAGTGCAGAATGAAACGTAAAAAGCACACACACATTTCTATGCTTGCAGATTAGGGAAGTGTCAAGGTGGCGGTATAAGTGACATGCGCGTCTTGGTGAGGGAGAATCTGTTGTTTTGTAGAAAATGTGGCTATGTGTATAGGTGGCAAGGGAGATTTTCAGCAAGATGGTCTTGGGTTCCAATCCAGCTATCACTGCTGGGCAAACTGTCATTTTCTGCCTCAGTGATTCCTCTCGAGGAAGGCAACAATCCCACTCACCAGACTACTGGGAGGGTTCAGTGGAACCCTGAATGATGAAGGACAGACACACTTCAGACCTGTGCACATGCTCACCTCTTCAGAGCCCAGAGCAATCGGCCTTAAGCACGGTCTATGGATGCCCTTGGCTTGAACAATCGTGCTTGCTTTTAAGAAGTTTGCAGTGTCTGTGGAAGTAGTCTATGAGAAGGGTCCCACACTGCGTGAGCCACTTTAGCTAACAACACTGGTTGGTTTTATAACGCAAAGAGGCTTCTTCTTCTTTTTTCTTTTAAGATTTATTTATTTATTATGGAAACAATGCTCTGCCTGCACTGTATGCCTGCAGACCAGAAGAGGGCACCAAATCCCATTATAGATGGCTGTGAGTCACCAAATGCATGCTGGGAACTGAATTCAGGATATTTGGAAGAGCTCTTAAACTCTGAGCCATGTTTCCAGCACAATAGGTTTCTTTTTAAAGTAGACTACAACAGCCTCTTCCTTCTTCTCTCACACCCTGAATATAAGACAGTGGGTTAAATCCATACATAGGACAATAGTACAGTGAGGTTGGCACATACAATGTCTCCTAAGTGCAATTACTGACTCTAGCCACACAGAGAGTTTTAATCTTCAAATAATGTTAATTACTTTGAATATCAGCTTACTTAGGACTGTACTGCCTTCTGTCCCAACAAAATTATTCATAGCATCCTCTTTTTTACCTTTGAAAATAGTTTTTAGATAACAAACCATATGATTTACACTTACATAAGCCAGATGCCTAAAATAAGAAAAAAGGTGGTTGACAGATCTATTCATGAAACTATGATAAAACAGACAGAAAATGAGTTAATAAAATGAGACACAAAGAGGGGAGGGAGTAGAGTGACATTAAAACACAAACAAAGAAGTCCCAGAGCATGTGAAAGGTGACGGACTCCACCACAGACACAAATCAGAATGCTTACCAGAAACACGTGAGACCAGAATTTCTAACTACAACTACTACATTTGGTGCCCTTTCCACTAAACTCTAAAAGAGATACACTCGCAACAGAAAAACAAGGTCGTAAACAAAAGTGAAAGCACGGGTACCTTGCTCCTGGCGTCTCCTAACAGCTGTAGGCAGGGAAGTTTTGGAGGACGGGGAAAAAGCATAGAGAATTATGTCAGAAGCACATGTGGGGATTGTTCTGGCAACAAAAGTGTACAGCAAACATCTCTTAGCAAACCAAAAACACAGGTCAGCAAGCGGTTTGTCTGGGGATATTGCAGCAGGCGCTTTCTGAATGGCATTTCCTCATCCTGCGCCTCTCCCCAGGCCCCTGACTTAGAGCAGAGTTCTGACCAGATATCCCACACCCGGAGGCACCTCTCTAAGTCACTGTTCATCCATGATTTGTTCCTATGAGGTCTTCTGCCTACCCCAGGGGCGTCCATTCTGTAGGCAAGGATTCCCTACCATTCCGGCACTTTCCCCTTCAGAAGCAGGTCACTCGGAGAGACTAGAGAGAGTGGACAAAGGAGCAAGGGCAGCATGGACAGATTGGGACTGGGGCTCAGAGGAAGGCTCAAGTCAACCAGCAAAGGGCTGGAGTCTCTAGCTCCACTTTGCCTCCTAGAAATTTGTACACAGTCCCTTATGTGGGATTTAAATCATCTGCCTGAACTGCAAGTCTGTCTTAGCCAAGGTTGCAGCTCCATTGTTTCCCAGTCCCCTGACTGCCACTTTCTCGGGTCTCTGACTATATAAAAGGCAGATTCAGAATGCTTTGACTTGGAAAAAGAAAGCCTCATTGGATTCTGTTCCAGCTCTTGACTCTTAGGCTAAAACCACAGTTTGAGCAATACTGCGCACTCCAATACCTGCCAGAAGTTCCTTCTGTGCTTAGGCTGATAAATAGAGCTGGCCAGGCTGGCTACCTACCAGGAAAGCCTTCTGAGAGTGGCCAACAGCTTGCTCAGAGAAACACATTAAAGAAAACATCTGACTGAGCAAGAACAAACAAGGCAGAGATGCGGAGGGATGGAAGCGGGATTCACAGTAGCCACCAACCAGAAAGTCATGGTCAGGTGGCACAGGCCATATTCAAAACCTCAGACTGGAAAGTAAGACTTTCCAGCAAGAAAGAGTTATGTGTGTGCTCTCCTCCTAAAAAGAGAATAAATCTTAGCACAGCAGAGGGCGGGGCGCCTGTGAGACCATTCTGAAGCGCAACCTATTTCAAATGCTGTGCACGTGAAGCGGGCGTGGGAGGCTGCTCCTACCAGCTGGGAGGCAAGTTCACCAAAGCTGATCCTACAGAATATCTGCTGTCCCACAGACTGAAGGAGCCATGAGCATTTCCCTGCCAAGTACTAAAATGTAGTAAGTGAAAATTCCTCCACTAGGACCTTAGATACTTAGAGACCAAACCTTAACATTTCAGAAAATTTTCATGTATGTCTATGTGTGCATGTGTGTGTGTGTGTGTGCAAGTGTAAGAGAGAGAGAGAGAGAGAGAGAGAGAGAGAGAGACAAAGAAAGAGAAACAGGGGGGTGGGGGGAGGGCAACCTGAGGTACCATTCCGCAAGATGCTGTTTACCTTGCTTTTGAGACAGGATCTCACTTCTAGCTGAGCTCATGGACTCGGCTCGGCTGGCTGGCCAGCAATCATCCTGTCTCCTTTTCTCTGGGGCAGCAATGATAAGGCCCACCACCACACACAGCTTTACCTATGGATTCTGAGGATTATATTCATGTCCGTGTGCTTGCATGACAAGTACTTTATTGATCCATTTTCGGGGGTGGGGGACATCCCCTAGCTCAGAATCACACAACAGAATAAATATAACTTTCAGGTCTCAAACTCTACTGTCCGTTGTTATGATGATGCATGTAGACTGTGCTGCCGAAGCCCCTAAAGCAACGGAGGCAACAGGATGGAAAACAGGAAATGCTGTGGGAGAAGAAGCTATGGGATACAGAAAACAAAGGAGATAGCTTGATGACATGTGCCAAGCCCAGTGTCATCAAAGTTTCCCAAGTGCCAAGAAGCATGCATGGGTGAGGGTCTTGATACTGCTCGCTCCTGGAAGGCTGATTTTACTGTGTGCCGTAAAGAGGTAAAAGTGTGAGAGGAAAAACCAGCTAACTTTACCTAACCTTTTCCTCTTTCTCTCCAGTGTATATATGTGTGGTGTGTGAACATGTCAATGTGTGTGTGTGTGAAGGGTCTTCCTTGATCTCTATCTTACACTTGAGGTGTGGTCTCTCACTCAAACGCATAGACTGCCACTGTATAACCTAGCAGCCCAGCCCTGAACCTGGCATCTATGTGGGTCTGGTCCTCACCTTTGCTTATGCTTTACGGGTGAGCCATCACCCCAGCCCTATTCACACACCTTTTGAAGAGTGTAAAAAATGACTTAGTCACCTGATTTGAGGGCAATTTTGTGTTAAGATAGAAAACTATGCTTAAGCAACTGCGACTCCATCTTTTCTGTGCCTCTTACCAGCGCATCAGCCACGGCAGCTTCTAGGTCTGTGCTGGTGCTCAATACTCGCATGGCATTCACGGAACCAGGGATTCTTCCTGACTGGCCCAGCCCAAACCGATCTATGTGAAAACAAAAGCAGGACATGTGTCAGCCACGCATAGCTTCGCAGTTCTCGGCGAGGGTTCCTGCCTCCTCCCACGAAAGAGAGCGACAGGAAAACTCCCAGCCGCTGCGGCCTGCACTGGGCGCTGCGGCCTGCACTGGGCGTGCCTGCCAGTGGTAGAGTTCAGGTGCTCATATCTAACACCAAGGAGCCACAGGCAAGAGATTTCCCCTCTTTTTTTAATTTTTATTTTTTAAGTGGATCCTATTTTGGACATTTGGTTACTGAAAAGGCTTAGACAGAAGATAGGGACCGTACAGAAGGGAGTAGGGCTCTGAGTTGAAGCTTATACTCTATTTAGCTTTCCTTCTAGCGGCAAGTACCCTTGTAGTTTGTTTAACTTAAGTATGCTTCATGGTTTGGGAAATAAGAAGTAAGGCAAAGTGATGGAAAAAGTTAAAACTTGAAATAAATTATTAATTGGTCTTAGTACAAATTTTCCCTAGTGTTATTATTATTTAAAGATCAACTTACTAAAATTATTTAATAATCACCATAAAAATCTAATGCCTTCTTTTCAGAACATCAGTCATTTTAGATATTATCAGTTTAACTTTTACGTGAGTCCCTTGAAGGATTTTTGAATAAACTTTATATAGATAAGGCAGAATAATTCAAAAACTTAAGATAAATGTTAAAAATTTAAACAATTATTCTAAAGTTGTTTTTAAAAGTTATATTTATCTATTTATTTGTGTGTGTATGTGTGAGTGTGTGTGTGTATGACACACATGTGCTAAGAGGACAGAAAAGGGTGCCAGATGCCTTGGAGCTGGAATAAAGGCCCTGGGGAGCTGCAGAACACGGTACTGGGTGCTCTTATCCATCGAGCCGCCTCTCCGCCATCCCAGAGCTGCTCCTGGTCAAAGTCAATGAAGACTTCTTAGGGTCCCACTGAGTCTGCCCAGCAGCTTTCCTGAGAAAGTGCTGGAGACCGACACTGAGGCAGGGGGATGCCCGTGGAAGTTATACATTCCAAGACGGGCTCATCCTACACAGATGAGAGGTCTAGTCATCAAAATTCTAATACGTGGAAACTTTTAGAAGTTTAAGATACTTAACTTAAGTGTTAAGATACAAAAAAAGTTTTCCCAGAGTTATACAGAAAACACTATTTGGACAAGGAAAACTAAACCTCTGCCTTAGTCACACTTTCAGCAATACAGCATTTGGAATAGGATCTAATATTTATTCTTACAGGAATTGATCTTTCTTTTGAAATTACGTTTTAATTTATTCACTATTATGTGTGGGGAGGTGCTATGGCATTCATAAGGAAGTCAGAGGACAACTCGCAGGAGCCAGTTCTCCTTCTCCACTGTGTAGGTCCCAGATTCCCACCCAGGCTACCAGGCTGGAGGGCAAGCCTTTACTTGCTGAACCATCTTGCTGGGCCCTAGGAATTGGTTTTCTTTTGAAATGATATATTTAAGCATTTGGACAGGGAATAAGACATCGTCTACAAAATTAGTGAAGTTTAGTTAGCTTTTGTTAAAAGATCACTTTCAAAATATTTTACCCTTCTACTACCACAGGCAGGGAAAATAATTTACACACTGCTAGTCAAAAGACTCATACACAGTCACAATTTTTTTTAATAAAAAAACAGAAACCGTATGTCATACTACCCCCTTTTTTAATGCACTTGTGGATGACTGCAAATGTCATCTTCTCATCAGATTTTGGTGATGAGTCGCTGGGCTCCGTGAACCACGAAGACCACGGACATCAACTCATCCCTACATCCGTATGCTCATTTGTTAGAATGTGAACAGGGACAGAATTGAGAGGTCTGGGCATGCTGTTTTCTAAGTAATTTTGGTTCAAGCCTTTTTTTCCATTAAAAAAGGGTAGATAGCAGGGGATTTATGAGGAACAAATGAGTAATTCAGTTAAAAGCCATTTAAAAGTTACCCAGCATAAACATAAAGTCTTAAAAACAAACAAAAAATAAAAAACAAAACAAAAAAACACAAGTAGATTTCATGCCAGCAACTCTTATTCCAGGGATAATATTGGATCTTTTCAGACAGAAAATTAAAACTTTTTAAGAATAAAACAAGGATTCAGTGCTTCCCAGGTGCTTATAGCTTTGCCACACACAGCAACTGTCGGTCATCTGATAAAGTGGACAGTGTGACCTGCGGATCTGAAGGGGACATGCTTGTCTAGATCACCAGGCAAAACCCTGCAGTCCACACTCACTGTTCCGACACTATGATAAAGCAGTTTCCCAAGGGACAGAACAAAGGCCTGGGCCCTCAGCCTGGCCCTAATTCTTAAGGAAACATTTAGTCAGAGCCCACATGGTGAAAACATGCAGCTGGCTCCGTTCAGAAGAAAGAAAGGGCACATTATTCACTGGATAAATGGGTGAGCATCGGCACCATTAACAGTGTGTGAATTAGTAGAGCATGCTGACTCCATTGAGAAACTAGCCATAAGGGGTGTTAGTGTGTGAAAATGACCCAGTTAATTTATGGTGGCATATGGATGCATCTTTAGACACTCACTCTCTATTCCTGCACCCAGTGGGTTTTGTTAAGTGAAGTTGAGACAGGTTTGGAGTTCACAGGCAATGAGACTAACCTCTTGCACCCTTGGGGCCTGGATCCTGACCTTGCTTTCCCAAAGCTTTCAGGGTACTATATTTTCCTATGTGTGAATGACGTATGCTGTGATCTAGGTGTGTGGAACTGGTAGCTGACGCTAACACAACTACCTTAGCATCTGACAGGACACTGGAGTAAGGACCGTGGAGACAAAAGACTGCCGGGTGGTAGCGATCCCCCTCTCCCCACGGGGAGGCCTAGTGACACCTACTTAGGGCTGGTCTTTTCCTGGGAAGAGGGTGTGAGGAAGCAAGGAGTACTTCCCTGATTGTTGTTTCAATGTAAATATGAATGCTAGAGAAACAATGCCAAACAGGCGACCGAGCATCAAGCCTATGAACAGAATCATAAACATTCAACAACTCAAAAAAAGCAAACACAGGAGGGCGAACATGAGGAACACACATGCCAGTGCTAGCCGACACGATGACAACAGAGGCTGACATGGGGGTGGGAGGACGGATGGAGAAGCTGATCATGCAGTTAGCACTTGTTCACCTGACTGCCCAACAGATTCAGCAGTGGAGAGAGCACTAGTGGACCTGGAATGACGTCGAGAGGCTGCAGGTAAAAGGAACGGCAACACCCACAGGGTTAACACACAAGTACCAGAGGAAATGCGGGGCTGCTACCACCAAGGCCGCGCTTCTCATGAAGAAATGGTGCTGGGTATGAATGGACAGGAGGACTGACCCCCACACTGCATGGTGGTCGCTGGCCTCACACAGCTCTTACACACACAGGCATGACAGAGGCACTCATCACAGTGCTTCATACTAAGGACGCACTGACGAACTCAGACTCCAGGTTTCGATTCACACCACGAAGCTTCCACCAGCCATTATGGAAATAAGCCACATGAAGTCAGCATCAGGCATCTGAGCCCAGGGCGGACAGCGAAGGATGGATTATTAACTCAGCTCACGAGATGTCACTGGTATGTGATGCATATGCCACCATGCACCAAAAACAAAAGCGAGAGGTTCGTAATGTTATCTCAACAGGAATTCATGGACCACGGGGGCTCAACACCTGCATCTGACCAGTGGAAAGGCTTGGTGTTTTCTGCACAGCTACCCTAGTTATCAATGTACCTGTCTGACTGCTGGGCATCCACAGGCAGTGAGTGTAGAGGCCTTCCTTGGAGACTCAGAGCGGGAGTCTGAGCACCATTTCAGAAACACAAATGGCAGGCCTGCCTGGCTTGGCCACAGCCGGCTGTGGCCCTTGGTAATATACTAACCCTCGGTTTCTCTCGGGTTCTTCATCTCTAAAGTTGTGTCAGTCACGGTACCTACCTCTTGCTTGTCATGGAGAGTGTTAAAGGGGACCACACACCACTGCCAGCGCACAGACAGCAGTGCTGGTGACAGTATCAGCATTAGACGTGGCAGTGAATGTCAGGGAAACTCACATGTAGGATAATATTTTATGAGTATTTGTAATATGTTTATGAATTCATCAACCTGAGGCAATGGATGTTAAGTTCCATCCTTGTAAAGAGTAACTTAGAGAAGTAAACATGGAATAAGAAACTGGTCTGATATGCAGATGTCACAGGCCCAAGTAATATTCAGCTACTCATTTAGTGAAAACAACAGACAATGCCTGCTGCCTTTCATTGCTCTGGAAAAGCCAAGGTGTTACATCCCAGAATGCCCCCACGTTTAACAAATCACTGAGAGATGAAACCCTTTACCTCCTCCATTATTTGGCACACGTTAAAATTCACACGTTTATTGACAAAGCGTCAAAACCTCTAACCTCCAGTGTAAGTTAATTTCTAAGCTCATGCCATTTTATAAAATATACACCCTGTGGTAGATTGATATAAAAAGAATACATTACCTGGTCAAGCAATACAAATTTTAGAGGCTTGAAACTAAAAAAAAAAAAAAAAAAAGGAAAATCCTCTTTTTGGAAGATTAACACATAAAACATTAGATGATGTGTCTAAAACCAGACTTACCACTTTCCTAGGTGCATCGTTCCCTTGAGACCAGAACAACCTGCATAGTCCTTAGCTCTCTCTATCTTGAAGCTTACATTGAAAATGGATTTAAGCAATACTTGATCTGTCTGTAGGTTTCTTAAAATGTATTTCTTTGGTTTGGACATGATACTCTACAGAACGTCTGCTCTGTAACGACTCTCTGTTGAATTCCTAAGTGAACGGCCAAATCCACAGAGGACTCACTTCTACAAAGCCTGACTTGATTGGCAGCAGATTTCTAGTATCTGTAATTTCACTTAGCATTAAGATTATTGAGAGGCTTGAACACCGTGTTACAAACTTAAAAACGGCAGGTATAGTTGGCAAACTGTCCACAGCTTTCATGCCTGGAGATTTTGAATATGCTTTCTGTCATTAGTACCTAAAGAACACAGTACAACAACCACTTACATAGCATATACATTGTGCTTAATATTATAAATAATGCAATGATGATTTAAATGTATGGGCGGGGAGGCATGGGTAACACAGCCTGTGTTTAATACTCCAGCATTTTAGAAAATAGACTTGAGCATCTACAGGCAGCCCTGCAACCAACCCCCTGAAAAGGCAGAGAGAGGTCATTCACTGAGATACATTACCTTCCTCCTCTTTTCTCTCTCTCTCTCTCTCTCTCTCTCTCTCTCTCTCTCTCTCTCTCTCTTTCTGCTTCTTTCCTTTCTTTCTCCCTCCCTCCCTCTCTTCTTTTTCCTAATGAAGTCTGGCCATATAAGTTTACTCAAAGGGTAACTAGTGGGAAGTGATTATGAAGACAAACAAGAAAAAGAAGGTGTTCAGGGATATGGAGCAAGCGCCCACAGGACAGCTGCTTTCTGGGAGGTCTCTCTGAATCCCTGGGTCCTAACTCCAAGCCTGGAAACCAACGCTTCAGTAAAACCTCTTAGCCCTTTTCTCTGTGTCTAACCCAGTAGAGACTTCACTACAAAGCACTGACCACATGGTTGAGCAACGCAAGAGACTCATCAGAACTGCTTTTGAAGAAGGCAGGCTGGGAGTCAAAACTGCACCTGGCTCTTCAATGTAGGACTGTTACAGTCAGGCTTAGAGGCTGATGATAAGGGTGCTTGCCACTCAGTGTGAGCCGGGACTGGAAGCACTTGTGCCAGCGGATGCTTCAAATGGGGCCCTCTTGTTATTCCTCTGGACACAAGTTTGGGGCCCAGATTTAATCCAAGGAGGTAAAAGGCATGGTCTAAAAATTCAGCTAGAAGTATTTCTTACTGCCCTGGCTACAACACAAGAAAGCAGCTGATGAAGCCAGAGCTGCAGCTTCTGCCTTGGCCACAGCAACTACACACTGTACTAATTTAGGATGTCACTGACACAGTTAAGCAGACCTGTTTACCCAAGGAGCAAAAACTGATGTGGTCCATCAGGTGCTCAGGGTTCAATCTAGATACAAGGAATTCAGTCCTCTCTGTCCATCCACAAACTGCATGTTCGACTTCAAGGCTGGATCCACACAGTGTAAAATGTCAGCCACAAGAAAAACGCTGACCTGCTTCTAACAGACAAAGTCATCCAGATTGAACTGCTCACTCATTTAATAGGCTGTTGGAAGGCCAGATAGTAAGCCAAGGCACACAGGTGTATAGCCTGCATTTAAAAGGGAAAATCACCAGTTCATTACGGGGTTAAAAGTGAGGAGTACCCCTGCTGCTATCATGAGGATGTGCAATGTCCCTGCATGCAAAGCCACCAGGCTGAGGGACAGAATAGCTGAATCTGAGGGAAGGAGCCACTAGAGGAAGAGGACCCTCTGGAAGGCTGTTGGTATCTATTCGCTACATCCTGACTTGGATCACTGACCCTGGAGAAAATCAAGGTATAAGAAGAGGTGTAGGGCATGAGCAGGAGAGAGAGAGAGAGAGATCTCCCACTTGCTCTACTACTGTGGTGTGGGAGAATTGTCTGTATTCTGTCAATCATATTTTAATAAAACGCTGATTGGCCAGGCAGGCAGTATAGGCGGGAAAGCCAGACAGGAAGTAGTGGTGGAGCAAAGAGACTGGGAGTATTCTGGAAGCAGAAACTTCCTCAGCCACTCCTGCGCAGACCACTGAAGAGGCAGCATGTAATATGCCCAGCTGAGAAAGGTACGGAGCCATTATGGCTAACATAGATGAGAATAATGGGTTAATATAAGTTATAAGAGTTAACAAGAAGCCTGACCTAATGGGCCAATCAGTTTATAATCTTATGGAGTCTTGTGAGTGATTTTCCTTGGGAGGTGCCGGCTGTGGGGTACTGGGCGGGACAGAAACCCCAACAAGCCGGCCCTCATGTTACACTACTGTCTCTCTCAGAGCAACATGTACAGCGCGAAAAGATCAGCTAAGTAATCACACAGCCAAAAGAAAAAAATTCACAGACTGCTGAAGCCCCTGCTTCATTGGGAATGGGATCATTTCAGGTCTAAACCAGCAAAATGACTTCTGCTCTTATGTTCATTAACAGTAAAACATACACCCGGATGGCACCACACATGCCACACAGGTCGGAGGATAAAAATCCTTTGGGAACTGATAATCTGTATAGACAAATGTACTGTGACCATTTTAAAGGATGGCATGGCTATTCAAACTAAAATTCATGTCACTCTTGAAATGTTATATGATTATCCTCTTATCCTTCCTTTGCATTATATATGCTGGGCTTGGGGGTGTGGCTCAGAGTCGAGCGCCCTAGAAGCCCTGGAAGCTTGAGGCCCTGTTTCCATCCTCTTTAGGAAAAATAAAGGCAAGCCAGAAATTTGATGACTACATTTCAATTCTGAATTCACCTCACTTGAATTCACGAGAAACCATTCACTTCAGCTAAGTTTTGCCCTATGCTAGAAACTGCCAAACGAATGGGCTTACTCAGTGAGAAGTGGCTACAAATGGCCATGGCAGCTTGAAATGGTATTTGTTTCCTCTAATGTGTGAAAACTGGTAGTTGCTGAAGTTTATGCATGCAGAGGGGACCACAAGGGCGACTAAGGAAGAGGGAAGAGAGAAGAGAGGCTCACAGGGCAGCAGAGGGAAGCGGTCATTCCACCCAGCAGTGTCTGCACAAGCACCTGCAGCCCCTGCGCAGCGCCTATGGGTACTCACCGAGTGGAGTGAAGCCCCGAGCAGGGCTTGTATCGCGGCTGCTCTCACGGCTGGTATCGCGGCTGCACCCCTGACTCATGCTGGGTCGGGGGATACGGCTGCTCCGTGCTAGCGTGCAGCATGAGGGGTTTCAGAGAAGGTGAACAAATTTAATGAAGACAGAAAAACTCACAAGCATCAGTCACATTTGCTTAAATGTAATTATGACATTGTCTATGCTGGGAAGTATGGACAACCTGCCCATGATGAGGTCTTACTGAAAGGAGGGTCTGGATAAATCGACTGTGCTCTGTACCTTGGAAGGCTGTGGACTTAAACACTGAAGAGAAATTACACTTAACTGTGAGAAATGAAGTATTCCCAAAGGTCAGTCTGGCATCAAATATAGTAAGATCTAAAGCATGTCAGGAACAATGGGTGTCTGTGGCTTTAGCAGACATCTCAGTGAGAGCTCTGGAGTCCAAAGCTGACTTCATGGCACTTGGTTCCCCCAAAAGACCATTCAATCTGGTTGAATAATAGGAGTAAAGACTCTAGTCTTGAAGTCTACGAACTTCCCTACGGAAAAGAAGACGGTCCTGACATGCTTGTCAAGATGGAGATGTCACACACAAGGGCAACCATCTAAGCAGCAAATTGAAGTCAGGACTGACTGCTTACTGTTTGATGATCTCTACAGCAAGAAAGTGGACAGTGTCAGTATTTGGGCAAGAAGATTCCTCTACTGACCTTGGAATAGTATTTTATAGTTGTCTCTGGACAGTTTATCATTCCCATACATGGAACATGTAAGACAAAATCATACAATAGTCAAGTCTAATAACATTTTGACTGTGAACCACAGATAGACCATGATACCCGTGCTTATCAGTCTGAGGAAGCAGAAATAAATTAAAGGCCAAACACTCTGCAGAAACACTGAGCATGCGGGGCATGCAGAGGAACGCCTAACGTCACAGCTGGAGGGGACATCTCATCCTCAGAGGTCGAGAGCTTCTAGACCGGGTGGGATGACTCTTGAGACCTTGGAAACTAGTTGTAAAAACAAGCATATCATCTGTGTCACAATGAACACAGCCTAATGTTTCAGAGCAAAGATTTATAGCTAAACTATAACAAGAACATCTCACTAACCAGAATCATAAAACTCTCCAATAAAGAAGAAAGTGTAAGTGAGAAATGAAGCCAGCTTAGAGTGTGCTCAGTAGCTCTGTGCTGATGTGGAACCTCACCCCAAGAGCTTGGAAGTGATGTCCAGACACTGTCAGTCTGTAGGAAAGGAAGGGTGAGGCAGGAATATAATCTGAATGATAGACCTCAAAGGCCTCACTAGAAGTTTCTTAGTTTGGACAGAATGACAGGGAAACACTGAGGTTTGCACTTATAGCACTGGGGACTAGCTAATCAGCAATTCCTGGTGACACCCTAAGTAAGTCACATAAGGACAGCAAGAGTAACAGGCGCCACGCTGAACCCACCAACACACGGGCGCTTCCTCAAGTGGACACAGCAGGGCTCTTATCTTCAGAGACTGCTGTACCTGAGTCACACAGCTCCCAGCTGCATCACTGGTCCAGCTACTTCATCTCCCCGGTTCTCATGCTCCCCACAGAAAGTAAGGAATGAAAAGAATCATCTCATCAACACAGGGACAATGCACAGAGACACACCTCAGAGATGTTTGCCAGACGCCATCCCTGGAAACCCTGACCTTTTCTACTGTCTTTTCCAAAGCAGGCTGCTAAAACGTTCTCGTGGCTTTTCACAGAAGTGCATGCTCAGCTGACTGCTATGTAACTTTATTCAGAACCCATATCTTTTCAAGTTCAGAGATGCTAAAGAAATGGAAATATATGTTCTCTCTGCAGTAGGCCTTCTTCGTGAAGACAATAAGGAGCACTAACAAGAACAAACAGCTGCGATATAAAATAATGCCCCCACAAACTTCTTGATAGGCCTCCCCCCCAGTATCTCTCCAAGAATGCACTCACCCTCCATGCTCACAGGCTCCTTTACGATGTGACACATAGAAGAAAGAATTCTGTCCACTATTTTGTCAGAAATCTGTCCACAATTGCCCCAAATTTCATTAAAATACATTTTATGGTTAAGAGTGGTATTTCAAATGTTAGGTAATTTAACCCATTCGAAAAAAACAGACACAAAGACTAACCTACAGAAAGATCTAGAATAAGCACAGAAAATTATTTTTATAGAATAAGCAGTCAAAATTCATTCATATAATCTCCATCCATCTACCCATCCACTTACCTACCTAGAGTATAAAACCAACTTGTCTTCTTAGGAAGTGCCCGACAAACACCCTAGGTGAGTCGAAGGCATGGGGGAGGTGCAAAAGGAGCAGGCAGGACACACTTGGTCTCCCAATGGCACTCACACTAGAAAGCTCTCGACCTTTGTCTACAGGAAAAGCTGTCAGGTATTCAAGAACCATTTGTTTGGTTTGCATTTCTTGAAAGATTCTACCCTACATCACAGTGTTTAAAGGTAATCCTTACTTTTGTCTTAAAAACAGAATTTATTTTCATTTTTACTTAACATATATTTGTATATGCCTACAGTAGTGCAGTCCACATGAGTGCAATGCCTACAGGGGCCAGAAGAGGGCATCAGACCCACCTGAGCTGGAGTTGGAGGTGGGTCCTGGCAACTGAAGTCCTCTGCAAGAGTTTATGCTCTTAACTGATGAGCCATCTCTCCAACCCTACTTTGGCCTTTTAAGGAATGACCCAATCAGGGTGCACAGCAAGGCAAAAGTGCAAGAGAATTAATGAAAACTCCCAGAAGCTAAAGGTAAAATGCTTCTTCAGATACTTTCACGTCCCAGCAAATCTACTTTTATAGTTAAAAGAAATCATTTAGTTAACTTTAACCTTCCAAAAATCTTTTTGAACCAGGAAGTCATAAGACATTTAGACTATAAACCACACAATGTAGGTTTTGGTGGCTGAACAGGAGGAGCGAACTGGAGGAACTGCTAACTATCACTAGTGACGCTGGACATCTGCGTGGTTCACATCTGCAAAGTCTTTGAGACACCAAAGTGAGACAATTTATGAATGTGCTTTCCTGATTGTTTGGGTAGCTTATGGAGGGATGGGAGGAGGGAAAGAGAGAGAGAGAGAGAAGAGAAAGAGAGAGAGTCAGTCTCTGGAGAGGGAGAGAGGTACGGGGGCACTGTGTGCAAGAGCAAGCAGGGCTGCTTCTGGACTTTGGAAAGTCATGTGCTTTCTACTTAGTGAGTGTTAAATGGCAATTGAGTGTGGCAGATGTTGCCTGAAATCCCAGCTCTTGGGAGGCTGAGAAAGATTCCTGCAACTAGGCCACCCTGACCTATAGCTATAGGTCTAAGCCAACCATGTCTACAGGGTGAGGCCCTATCTCAACAACAAAATAAACAACAGACAAAAAAGTATAAGACCCCTGGCATTATTTCCATAACAAGAAATAAAAATTTAGTTAAGTGCATTTAAAACAAAACAGGAATAATTCGAAGACTATCACTAGAATTGTTCTCTGGGGACGGATGGAGGTCGGTCCCCACACTGTACCCGAGTCATGCCCCTGGGAGCTTGCACACAGGCTCTCCTTTCAAGCGCGCACCTTGCAGCAGGAGTGGTAGGATCACAAAGGTGCACTACCACATCTGGATTTTTCAGTGGGCTCAAGTCATCAACCTTGTGTCACTGGACTTGTGAAGCTAGCAGCTTTACCTACAGGACCATTTCCCTGGCCTTATTATTAATTTTTAATGTAAATTCTAAGCCTTAAACTAGGCTAGCAGTCATTAAAACTGCTTAAGTTTTAACTGAGTTACGTCTTTTGGAGATTTTTAAGGAAACATTCTATAAACATGTTACCCTTCTTCTGAATATTTGTATTTAAAACTGTTAAGCCGTAAACCAAATGGTTAGACACACAAATATATTCTAGTATAAACTCAATGATCACAGTAAGCAATCCATTACTGAAAAATACTAGGCACCTAGACCTTATAAATGGTAAGTATAAAGGAACATTTTGTTCATATGTATTATGTGTGTGTTCTTATAATGTGCGGAAATAAAACACCTTCAACCAGAACTTCATGCATGTCCTTAAAATACTACTAACTCCCTTCATGAGCACCAATAATTCTTTGGACAGACATGGCGACACAATCCCAGCACCTGGGAGACAGAGGTAGGCAGGTCTCTGAAGGTCTCTGAGTTCTATCTAGGCTAGAGTGGGCTATATAAGACCCTATCTCAAAAAAAAAAAAAAGATAAAAATATCACCTCAAATATGAGCTCTTTGGAAGGAAACCAGCTCCTTTACTGATGTTTCATGACACTGGCCTTCAAAGCTCAGAAAACGCTCCTCTTCTACCACACACAATGGACCGCTGGAGTAAAGACTGGAACTGAAACTGAGTTATTGCCTAACTTTAAGAATGGTACGAGGCTGTCTGGTGGCTAACTCACTGTCAGGTGGATAGGACCTGCCACCAAGAAGACACGTCGCTGAGCATGTAAGGGCGTTTCTAGACAGGGTAGAGTGAGACAGAGAGACCCATCCCATGTGCTGGGGTCCTGAACATTATTGTCCTTGTCTTTGGTTCCCACCTGTGGATGCCACGTGACCAGCTGCCTCCCACTCCTGCCACAAGCCTTCCCCAACAAGGAGGGCTGGACCCTACAACTGTGACCCCAAAAGAGCCCTTCCTCCCCTAAGGTGCCAGTCAGGTGTTTTGTCATGGCAAGAAAATCACCGGAAACAAGCAGAGCTCCTGAGAAACACTTAAACGTCCCAACAGTAGAGCCTGTTTGCGACATCATAGCAGACCTGGTCACATACATACAACTTACATAGACGTCAGCAGTCAACGATGAAACAGACAGCTCAAGAGTTACGCCTAAATTTAAAATAAAATGTATTCCAAACAAAGGCCTGAGCCAGATGCAGATGGGTTTCGTAGCAGTTGAGACAATTCAGACATTCGTCTTGGAAATCTGAGGCAAATCAAATCTTAACCAAGTCTTAACACCTGCTTCTGGCTGAGCCCTAACAGTCCCTGTCCTTAACTGCCAGCCACCGCCATGGCTGATGAGTCTTTCTTGACCAGTTGCTTCTGGATTTGCTGCTCTCCTGAGAGTGTCTTTTCCTTGGACTTCAAAGCAGGACCTATTCCAGGACACCTGTTGTTAGACAATCTCGAGGGTCCTGCAGACAAAGGGAAGACCCTCCTTTCTGTTGGTCCCTGAGCACCTGTTACAGCATCCCATACAGTTATATACCTCCACCCCTTCTCAAGAGATTAGAAGGGTTTGGAAATGAGGAAAGTATATTCATTTATCTTCTAATTCTTAGGTCTAAAAAAGAGCCTGGTATACATTCCAGTAAAAAAAAAAATGAGAAAAATCAATATTGAGTCAACAAGAAAAGTTAAAGCTACACTCCTCTCATTCACCAGCAATAAATTCGTACATGAGGAAGCAGACAGATATACAAAAAAGTGGGTGTGTCAATAAATAACTTTCTGGTATTATATCTTGAAAGATTTTGACATTAACAAGGAACATGTGAGTCAGAGTGCAGGCTGGAGACACTGAGAATCAGCGGTGTCACAAGGGAGCTAAGCAACACTCAAGTGAGTGCTTTTCAGTGCTCACCAATCTCTAGCGTCCATGTCTCGACAAAATTATGTCAAAAGTAAGTATGTATATTCTTTCGCTATAAGTTTAACCAGTTAGGTTAGAAATAGAAATAGGGGCCTTGAAATGCTTCTGAGAATGAGCATATGCGGTGAGGAGAACGACCTCAGTGAGAGGGCAGGGGAGAGCGGCAGCGCTTCTGAAGGAGACAGAGTCTCCCCAGCTGCCGGGCACTGCAGACAAAAGCAATGCCTGCCTTCAAGGACAGCTGAGGGGGCTCCTTGAGTTCAAAGGCAGAGCTCTGCTTTCTGTTCACACAGTGATTAGATCATAACCACGATTACAGCCATGCTGGGAGTGAGGTTTCTTCAAGTCTTGGAGAATCCTTACCTAATCCAATGCGGTTAGGACTTGTTTCTCGGCTACATCCCTGACTCCTGGGGATCTTGCTTCGTTTTTCTGAAGACAGTGTTACAGGTGGGCCTCTTGAGGAACCCCCAGCAAGACCACCATAGCCGCTTCCCAACAGCTTCCCTGGGGAACTTGACCGGCTGCCAGCTAAAAAATGGAACAAAATGGTGGTGAGATGGATGTAAATCAGGTGACAACGCAGACATGAAGAAAGAAGCTTTCACATATGAATTTGCAAGAAACATTAAGAAAGAATTATACAAAATTACTGCTTTTTAAATAGAGGACATAGGATCACTGTCATAAATAAACAGCTTAGAAGACCCGCGAGCAGCTCTGAAAGTGAGGCGGTTTCTAGTGAAGAAGCTGACGCTGACAGGAGCTACCAAGCAGAGCTCTACACATGGCCAGAGACATCCGCAAGGCTCTCCCACGAACCACACTCACCCCAAGAGCTGACTGCCTAAAAATTAAGTATAATCATTGAAGAAATAGACTTTTAAGACATTAACTTAGGGGAAATGGTTGAGAAAACTTCATTAATCTACAAATGGAAGAAAGATGTGGGCTTAAAATGACTAGAAATGGTTTATAAAAAAATCCCAGAGGAAGATGGTAGAAATAAGCTTAAACATATCAGTGCTGCAATGAGTGTGGCTGGACACCGCTCATTTATTAAAAAACAGGACATTTTCAGTCCACTTATTTTTCCTCACTGGAGATTGAGCCTTGCTGTGCTAGCCAAGTGCTCTACTACTGAGTTAGACTCTCAAGCCTCAAGCTATACACTGCTAATAAGAATCAAATAACACACTTAGAAGCAAGCAACAAAACAGAAACCACAAGCACCGGTAAAAGGATGACTGACCACAAAGATAACAAACTCCAAACAGCACAGCTGTGAGATGCTAACCAAGAAAAAAGAATATAGGGAGAAACAGGGAAAGCCCTAATTATTAAAAGATACCCTCCCCCCCACAAAAAAAGACCCTATAGAAAGCCTAATAAGTCTCAGAGAAATAGGTGGGGCTAGCAATCAAACCTTCGTGTGCAGAGTGGTTGACGGCAAGCATGTATAGGATGCGTACAACCAGGACGTACAACGAAACGCCTCTGTTAGCAACAGATCACCGGTATTCCCTGGTAAGGCTGTGGACAACACAGTCTGTGGAACTACACTCAACGGCCTAATTGTTCATAATGTGTGATTTCACAGGCAGACTCCTTTTACATATGTGGATATCCCAAACACTTTTCTTCATTTTAACACCCATATTTTATAAATACTAGCTGTGTACTATACCTCAAAACAAATCTCAGAAAACATGAAAAAGAAGAAACCACATAGGCCACAATCTCTGAGAAATATGCAGTAAAGCCAGAAATCAGAAATAAACAATGGGACTGCTAATCTTTATTAATAGCTAAATATCCAGATATGCTTATAAGCATTTAATATGGGACATAATTCTCTCATAGAAAAGAGCAACATTCCAAATATTAATATACACAAATGACAGCCACTTAACAGATCATCTCCCTAAGTAGAGAAGGCAGTAAAATTTTAAAACATAAAATATAAAGTATATGATGCAGAGTAGAATTGCCTTCAGGAAAAAAATAAAGCAAACAAAACCCTTTTAAAACAATACTTACCCACAAATTACTGTTTCTTACAGAATATCATCATTCAAATAAGTCACTTGGTTGGCTACACAAGAAAATTAACACCTAATAATGATTAAATTATACACAATTTGGAAGGAAAATCATTGCGAAAGTCAGTAATGCACATTATTATGAAGAACTATCCCAAGACTTGAACAGAAAATAAACTATTAAGCTATGTCAAGGGCAAAAAGAAATGCATTTCAAACTCTAGCATTTGGAAATACAGGAAAATGCAGAGAGATTAAGCATAAACAGAGAAATTAATACTGTACAGAGCACGGCTGAGGGAGAGTGCCAATGGCGACAACAGAAGGGCGAGAAGGGAATGGCTTACCACCAGCAGGGTTAGCAGATCTGGATCCTTCGTTAGGAGAGCAGACCAGAGGACAGGCAAAAAGTGGATTAGAAGACAATAAGACAATACAGAAAGTCAGCATGCGACACAGCGCCAATGGTTTGCTCCCAAGCACAGTAGCAAAGCCGCTACTGTTCCGAGGGCGCTTTGTTCCACACAGCACAGTTTAGCATTTGTCCCAGGTCTGTTCGTGAAACACCCATCTATAACGTGTCCAGCTTAAGAGATCTGGAGCAGACAAGGCCTCTGTCTCCAGAGCACACCTCCTCGGCTCTCAGCAAGAGGGATACAAGCAGAGCGTGGTCACCTGCGCCCACTTCCATCTTTAACAAGATGCCAGTGGCCGGAAGAACACTGCTATGGACTGTTTTCACCCTTGACTGGCTATGACTTTCCTTATCTTCAAATATGTAAAGTATTTCAGTCCTTAAGGGTCTTAAATCTAGAAATAACAAACCTACTTCATATCAAACCAGGACTATGAATGTTGCATGCCCACGTTTGTAATATAAATATATTTACCTCATTCAAATAGTTATTAAAATAATGAATCTTGTATGTGTAAGTCTGGGGTGTACGCTCAATTATGTGCTACTATTTAGTGGCTTCTGTTCCTCTGAGCACAATCTGGCCATAGTGTCCCTAAAGAGTCTCAAGGTCCAGGTCAGTATGTTCCTGGCTTTAAGACTTAAGCCTATTTGCCTAAAGCCTCTAGAAAAGCAATTTTCAACCTCCTTCTAAAGTCAGGTGACATTTGGATTTCTAAAACCAGAGAGACACAGCACTAACACAGTTGTGGTGGGGAACCTGGTAGAGGACACAGCCAAGAGCTAACAAAAAAGAAACGTATTTTTTCCCTCAACCCCCATTCTCCACAGAAAATCATACTGCAAAATGAATTCATAACAGGCAAATTTTGACTTGAGAGACTTCAGGGATAGGAAGTGAAATGTATTTTAATTTCTAATGCTATCAACATGTGTGTGTGTGTGTGTGTGTGTGTGTGTGTGTGTGTGTTATATGTTCCTGTCTATGCAAGTGTGTGTGGATACCAGAAAAGGATGCTGAATGCCTTCTTCAGCCACTACCTTTTGTTTTCAGACAGGGTCTTTCACTGGGATCTGAGGCTCACCAATTAGACTAGATTGGTTGACCAGCAAACCCCAGGGATCCAGATGTTTCCATCTCCCCAGTGCTGGGATTATAGTGTGTGACAGCACAGCCCGATGCTTATGTGAGGACTGGAAATCCAAACTCAGGTCCTCAAGCACTTTAGACAGAGTCATCAACTAGCCCATGAAATATTAATCCCTTGAGAAGGAGACCAAAGCATGCTTGGAATGTCCACTTTGTAAGCCTACCTAGTAATGCGGTCACATAGTGTCTCAGAGCCGCTGCAAGTCTGTCCAGCTATGGGATGTGCTACTAAGGGAAGCTAAAGTAACCAAAGCATAAAACACACTGCTTACGCTGAGACTGTGAAACCACTTTGGCGCGACTGCGGCCCCGACTATCCGAGGGTGTGGAGGCGACATTGGTGGCACTCCCAGAGCTTTGCCGTCTGGTACGGATCCGACCTGGAGGGTACAGCAAAAACAGTGTTTTCATGACATCTTCGGCTAGTGTGACCTAGTAAGAACCCACACCACAAGCACAGGGCACTGACGCAGCTGGCCACGCAGGAAGCAGAGGCTTCTGTCAGCCAGGCCCCCATGAGAGTTAGACACCAGTAGGATGAGCAGGGATGAATGTGGTTTTGAATTCTCCACAAGGCTTCTCTGCAGTCAAGGAAGCACGAAATGCCTTTCTCCATAAGCCAGCTAGAACTGGACATGACTGACACCTCCCCGGCAGCAGAGGAAGCTTGCAGAGGAAGAATGCAGAAACAAGTCCCGGGGATTGAAGAAGGTTTGAGAAAGTGCAGCATTGAGGTGGAAAGGAGACGAGAACAGCGATCTTTAGTAAAGTTTTAAAAGACATAAAAGCTGGGTACGGTGGCACACACCTGTGATTCCAGCACTTGGGAGGTGAGACAGGAGGAGGAGGAGGAGGAGTTCAGGCCACTCTTGGCTACACAGTAAGTCTGAGGCCAGTCTGGGCTACGTTTACTACTGGATATTTACTAAAAGGCTGCATTATTTATTCTACTGAGAACTATGATCTATCTCTGCCAATTACACAGCAATGTATAGACAAGAAAGGGCAACCCAGGGGAGAAGCAGGTCCGGCGCGCACGCCTGGCATAGGTGTCTGTCTGGCCCCCAAGTACCTTCTGTAGGCACCCAGCCAAACCAAGAACGTGATCAGGCAAAATGAATATAGAAAAGCAATCTATTTTAAAGTTATTACAAGAGAATACTCAGGGTACATATATTTTTTTAAAAAAAATTAATACCTATACCCACAAGCTGGAAGAACTAAATCCCTCTTGGAGGATTCTCACTCCCCAGCATTTGGTAATATAGTCCAAGGGCCAGTGCTCAGGAATCTCAAATTTCTTTCTTTCTTTTTTTTAGATAAATATATTTGCATGATCAAGAAACATATGCCAGTTTTGCCTATTTAATGTTAAATTATAGTTGGATTTTAAAATACATTGCTTTACTCAACAACTTATTTGTGAGTAAACTTGTGGAATGGATTTTCCATATGGACCAAAGAGAGAGTTTACCTTTTCCAGATGACTAATTCTCAAATAAATCTCCCAACTCTTCTCTTACTAATCTACAATGCCTCTCTTTCTCAAAGTTCTACTTCAGTTTCATATCAGGCAAAGGTATTCTAATTATAAAAAGTACTTTTAGATTTTATTTTGTTAACATATAATGTATCATTCACACATATGTATTTGCATACACACACACACACACACACACACACACACACACACACATACTGTTTCTTGAGACAGGGCCTTGTTGGATAGTCCAAGTTGACCTGGTATTTGTTATATAGTCCAGACTGACCTCAAACTCACAGCAATTCTCCTGCCTCAAACTCCTGAGTCCTGGATTTACAGTCATATGCTACCACACCTGGCTTTTAATCATGACATTATGACCTTAAGTTTAGGACTTTTGCTAGACGGATTAATTTGTATATAGAACCGGGGTTACAAAATAAGCCAGCTATTATTTTTTTTCTAATTACACATTTTCACTTCACTGCGCTGTTCTATTCATGTAACACAAAGCAAAGTAGAAGCAATGAAGTACTGTTGACTCAAAAGAGATTTTTTTAAAATGCTGGATTTAGGGGTACAAGTTATTGACAGACTATACAGGCAAGCCCTGGGGGTTCTGTCACCTCCCCCTGACACACATGCCCACAAAATGGCCTCTTGTCTTTTTCCAGTAAAGTTGCCTTTTGCTGACCAGTGATGAAGGCATATGCATCCTGTCTGTACTGCAGATTCATGCCAGTGAATGCCCACAGGCCCCAGGGTTCAGCAAACGACCTTGGTGTAGCCAGCTTAGCTAATTCTACCTGGACCCTGTAGTCATGGTGTCTGGAGCTGGGCGACTGCGTTGCTTACTCTGACTGGCAGGGTGCTCTCAACGTGAGGATCATTTTGGCCACTGAATTCTATGTACTTCACTCACCAGAAAAAAATGCAAATTTCATATTTCATTTGAACAGGTAGAGTAGGTATTTCATATTTCACAACTGACTCTAAAGACCTGTAGTGCTCGTTCTGCTTAGCTTCCTCTGATGCTCAGACGTGCAGTGCCTTCGGCCTGTAATCTCCTACCTGGCTGACAGAATACATGGAAAGCCCAACGGACGGCCCCAAGAGTGGCTCCTCCTGTGAGACGTCAAGAGTCCTCATAGGAACTGCAAACGCAGATCACTTAGTCCTACAGCAAGGGGCGTCTCACACCCCACAACAGGGACGGGACCTTCAGTTTACTGTGTGTACAGAGCTCAGGAACAAAGAATTAGAAAAGACCATTTTCTCCATGAAAGACACTCAAGACGGCAAGATGATCTGAAGATAGTTTCTCTGCCTCTGCCTTCTCACGGCCCTTGTCAAGGATGGCTGGCTTCGGGCCAATGTCTTGCACCTTGGGTGAATTCAAGGTCTGGTCTTCTGTGTGCTTTGGCCTTCCACTGCTATGCTATAGGAGCAGCCTGAGAAGGCCTCTTGTTGTTTTTGAACTTTCTTACTTTTTTGGGAAGTAGCTACATAGTTTGAAGGTTCTCTGTTGTGCTGTGTTCGGATATAGGTGTCTCCTTCACAGGGAGAGGAACTGGTTTTTACTCTAATTAGTTGGCAATTATAAGTGCCTGGATGTGTTTTAAAGGAAAAACACAAAATGTTTTGTGGTCTTCAAGAGAATCACAGCTACTGCACAAACACAGCAAACCACAAGAAAATATTCCAATTGTGTACAATGAGTGAATGACAGAGAATCATGAGAACACACCTCAATTGTGCACCACGAGTAAGTGACAGAGAACCTCGAGAATACACCTCAATTGTGAACCATGACTAAGTGACAGAGACAAAACAAGTGTGGAAGGGGTGAAGGCAGCCTGAGATTAAAAAGATGAAATAGCTGCATAGCAATAAAGGAAAAGCTGTGGAGTTGGAGGAGCCAGGAATGTCCCAACTATATATAAAAAGAGAAGAGCAGACACTGGAAGAAGCAAGGAATTTAGGAAGAGTTAAGTCTTCAGCTTTCATGGAATCAACGAAGAATATTTCAATTGCACAGCTTTCTAACACTGCTAAGAATTCTCACTCAGTCGTGTTTTCCTTCTTCTGGAAAGACCCTAAAACATGGAAGTCCAAACTTGTGTTCTAAGTCTACCTTACAGGCATGGTTCTCAACAGTCAATTCAGCCCAAAGCTTCTTAATCCACGGACCCATAACTAAACAGGGGGACTGTGAAAAAACGGAACAGTAAAGAAGTTGTTGAACAGTCAAACCAAAAATTGAATTCACAGTCAAACTCATAATGAAGCCTGTAGCAGCGCTCAATTGTCTGACTGTAGTATGTCATGAGCTGTATGTTGTCTGTAATGAAGCCCCTAGCAGCGCTCACTCAGGACTCTAGTATGGTATGAGCTGTAATATTCCTTTTGTTGTTTGTTTTTAAAATGTACGAACTTCTCTGCTCTTACAGAAACATTAAAAAAGTAAAGATTTCTCACATTTTCTTACCATCACCTCTCTCTGTGGAGTGCATTGATGAGAACGTCTGACTTGATTGCTTCAGAGTGTCTGATTTTAAACATGACTGCTGACTTGCTGACTTGAGTCAGCTAAAGTCTTGCCCAAAGAATCTCCACTTGGAGTTAGGACAGAAGTTGTGATGATTTCTACAATGGCTCCAGACATACTTATGCTGTCTTGTCCAATGGGAAGTGACGACCCATGCCACGATCAATCAACTCAGACAAGTGTGGACAGCGGCCTCTGTTCTGCACTACAATTACTCAGGCACGATTTCATTCTTTACAGAAAACTAAACAAGTCCATCCGCCTCATTTGTATACAATGTGCTTCTTTCCCCATCAAAACCAAACTAAAATTAAAGCTCTTTTTCCTAAGTAATTTTTTAGTATAATCTTAATTCAGCAAAAGTTAAGCTAACATGGCTGTGTGTGTGTGTGTGTGTGTGTGTGTGTTTCAGGTGCATGTGAATGTGTGTGCACATGTATGTAGAAGTCTGAGGTTGACACAGTGTCTTCCTCAATTGAGACAGGGTCTCTCAACTGAACCCAGATCTTGCTGATTCTGCTAGTGTAGCTGCCAACTCGATCTAGGCAGCCCATCTGTCTCCCAAGAGCTGGATTGCAGGCAGACCGCCGGCTGGGTCCGGCTGACTTGTGTGTGTGCTGAGGATCTCAGCTCCAGTCTTCACACCTGCATAATAACTGCTTTGCCCACACTGAGCCCTCCCTCCGTGCCCTCATATGTCCTCTGGCCACCACACCCAATCTGACTTTCTTGGTAGTTGCTGTTTTGATACAGGTCTCTCTCTGTAGCATGGGTTGGCCTTGAACTTGCTGCAATCCTCTTTGCTCAGCCTCTCAAGCACTAGATATAGGATTGTGCCACCATACTCAGTTTGGCTTTTTTTTTTTTTTTTTTTTTTTGCCTCGGGCATTAGAAATTGTAAAACATTTACTATATTTAAAGGCTCACAGCTGGGAACCTAGCTCAATGGTAAAGTTGTTGTTTCTGTGCTCACACATACAGTCGAGTGTGCACATGTACTAATAAATAAATGCAACTCAAAACCATTTTGGGGGCTGGAGAAACGGCTCAGTGGTTAAGAGCATTGCCTGCTCTTCCAAAGGTCCTGAGTTCAATTCCTGGCAACCACATGGTGGCTCACAACCATCTGTAATGAGGTCTGGTGCCCTCTTCTGGTCTGCAGACATACACACAGACAGAATATTGTATACATAATAAATAAATAAATAAATATTTTTTAAGAAAACTATTTTAAGCCTATTTCTCTATTTTCCTTTTTGACTCCTGAGAACCTAGACTATGGCCTCAGGAACAGTAAAACTGAGAATGTAGCTCAGCTGGCCAAATGCTGGCTCAGGCTCAAAAGCCTGACTTGATTCCCAGCACTGAACGCGGGCGCGGCGGTGCACAACCGAAACCCAGCCTCGCTTGGGTGAGCAGGATCAGACCATCAGGTCAACTTTGGCTAGATGGAGAGTTTGAGGCCTGTGTGGGCTGCATGAGACCCTGTCTCCAAACAAAATGGAATTATACATAAGAATATTCTGCTGGGCTGGGGAGAGAGCTCAGTGGTTAAGTACTTGCCGTATAAATGTGCCAACCTGAGCTCAGTCCCCAGGGATTCCACATAATGGATGGACAGGACTGACTCCCTTGGGAACTGCCCACCACTTGCCCCACAGCACACAAACCTGCACTCACACACACACTATACACACACTAATAAGGAAACTTTACAACCCACAGAGAGCTGCCCTGCTCAAACCTAGGCTCCTTTACATGGTAGGCACTTCACAACTACACACTCCACAGCTCTCTCCACTGCTGCAGGCAGTGTCTGGAGATCTGGGGTCGAGCACTGTCTCCACACGCAGTTGTGGAAGCAGTATCCTGCTTTCTCCCCAGAAATCCCAGGAAAGGGGACGGGGTCTACCAGTCGATAACGTAAGGCACTGTAAGCGCAGTGCACCAGCTGGGTCTCAAGGACAAAGAACAAGGCAAGAACTCAGCCAAGAGCTTCTTGGCCTAAAATGTGGACCATGGGGAAGTGGACATGCCCGTTTCTCTCTGTGGTGTGGACTGCAGAGCTGGCAGAGAAGGCTCTTATCACGTGACCGGCAAGAGGATCGGTGTGCGCAGATGAAACAACAGGGGCACATGACATTGACACAAATAAAAACAATATCCCATAATTCAGCAGTGTTCTTCATAGGAGAAAACACACCATTAAAAAATGTCTTTATAGCTCAGTAGAAAAATTTCACCAGCATTGAACCCGAGTACTTGGCCCAGACATTTACTTTCAAAACCGGAAAGATGACCCCGAGAAGCCCAGACAGCACAGAGAAGGAAGTGGAGCTCATGCCGGGGCTTCATGAGCAATAAACCCCAGGGCAGCAGCACACGAGGTGGTGTCCGATATCCCCCCAGTGTGGCCTCCGCATTATCACCGCCCTCAGCACACTTCAGTGCCCCGGTTCATCAGAACAAAGATTAAACAAGAAAGGGAAAGAACTGAGGTGGAGGGAGGGCTAGGAGCCGCTGGAGACAGAATGAAGAAGAGGGTGGGGACATCGTGCAACACATCATGCAGGGACCTCAGTGAGGACACGTGGGCACCAGGAAGCACTCGGTGGGAACAAAGGACCAGAGAGACACACACCTCGATCACAGAAACAAACCGCTTACCCTCCGCTTTAGTGGTAGTACCGTCTTTAAGCCAATTAAAAAACAAGGGAGGGGACAACAGGGAACAGTTAGTAACATTCAGGAAATTAAAAAGCAGAATGTTATTAGCTACTCAAAAAGCAAAATGTACACTTTAAAACAAAGCCAAAAGGGAAACACATTCAAACGCAGAGCCGAGCTGGAAGCCAGCGAAGTGTGCCCTCACCAGAGTTAGCTCAGTCTGCAGTAACACCATCTGCCTTTGGAAAGCAAACAGAACAGCGGCCCAGAGCTGTGTCACCGTCTACAGGCGTGACTCAGGGCCTCCGCTTTGTCAACTGCACCATCCTCGCAAGTTCCCACTCCCTGAGAGTTCTAGCAGAAGGGCGTAGAGTAGCGACTAGTTGAGGTTCTACGGTCACCCCGAGAGCAGAACGAGTGAGAAGCTGAGAGGCTGGAGCAAGGCCTATCCCGACTACACGCCCAGCAGCAGCTGTCCCTTCAGTACCTGCATCCAGGCCTACGTACTCCAAGTCTTCCCTCACGTGTCTGGATTCTAGAAGTTTGGAAAACGGTTATCAGCTTTAATGCTCCACTGTGACGAGTCAAGCGCTGCGGTCAGGCCTAAGTGGGGCCTGGGCGCAGTCTCAACTGTGTTCAAGTAGCAGTGGAGGAGGGGCAAAAATCAAGGACACTGGAGGTACAATTTTTAAGGAGAAGGAAGGGAGAGAGCAGTCGAACTGAAGTCTTGCCTGGAGAGGACAGCCTGCACTGAGAATGTCCTCAGGGCTGCTGAAGGTTTATTTGTCTGTTACCAGACCAAACTCTGAGATTTCATCAGCACTAAGGAAATCTAACCAGGCCTCAACTAAATACCCCAGATGTGTACAAGTGAGCAGTGATCCCAGATATGCCACTAAAGGTTGCATGAACTCAGTCAAGCAAATGCTAACTAAAAATACTAACAGTAGGGTAGGCCGTTACTATGGGAGGCAGAGGCAAGATGATCTCTGTGAGCTGGAGGCCGGCTTGGTCTACACAGTGAGTTCCAGGCTACCTGGGGCGATACAGTAGGGCCCTGTCTCAAAAAAAAAAAAAAAATAAATAAAACAAACAAAAAACAAAAGTAAAAGTAAATCAAAAGTATTGACACCCTGGTAATACCTAGATTACAACTTGCTCACCATGGGAGGGAACAGCCCTGGCTTCTCCCTTCACCCAATATTACAAAACAATACCTTAATACATATATATTATTGGTGTAGTAGTTACCATGGGGAAGAAGATTGTCCATGCTGGGTCTCTTTTCAAGAGAAAGTCTGAGCTCAGGAAAATTGGAGTGTCTGGACACACGGTTCCAGGACATACACTGTCTCAGGGTGGTAGGGTTCTTATTTCAGCTCTACTTTCGTCTGCCTTGAAGGGCAATCATTTACAAAGGACCTTCAGGCAATTCTATCCACCCTCAACAGTGCCTGAGCCAGATGGCTACCATCACCATGAGGTCATTGGCATAGAAACCGACTCAAAGCTTGCACAACCTGCTCACTGGGACAGAGAACAAGGGGCACCTTCTTTGGCTACCGTCCTGTCCCCATGCTTCCAGTCTCAAAGCACTTTAGAACTGGCAGTGACCTTGAAATTCCTAATGGGTTCTGGTGTTAAACTTAAGCTAAGTACTCAGGTTTGGGGACTGAACGACTATCTTGGCACTTACAAAAATATAATGAAAACATCACCAGCCCAGAACAGAGAGGGTGTTCATTGTCAGCTGGCAGGAAAGAAAGCATCTACCACTATGTTAGATACCAGAACTTTGGGAAATAATCAGAAGCAATCCTTTGGAGCAGTCACTGGAGTATGGGGGTACTCGCCTCAGGAAACACGTAGGCAGAACACTTGTACAACTGTGCTTAAGTTAGCTAAAGGTCCATTACATTCATTCAGAACCCCGTTATCCCCTCCTCCACTAAGAGACACTCAACTACAGGACACGTGAGTCCTCACTGACCATCTGGCTCTGTCCCAACCAGCGGGAAGGGGACACCAGTGTTGGTTTGGGTACGGGCAGGACTTGCTGCAGGAAAGAGGGCACGAGGACCACACAGCCTGAAAGCACACATGCCTTATAGAACAGGCTGATGTTCGAGAGCAAGGGGACACTGGATAAGACACTGGAGAGAGGGTGGCTGGGAACTATCCCTTAGTGCCATCACTTAGACTTCAGACCACCCAGCAAATGAGCCTTCCCTCAGCCAGAGGCCTGTAATCTGCTGAGAGACCAGAATCACTGGGGCAGGGGACAGGAGGGAGCCTGGTTACCTAAAGATGCATAAGACCCTGGAGGCAACGCTGCTGCAGAGCTGAAGGCGGTGGAGCCCGAGGATGAGGAGACTTTGGATTTGGCACTGGCTGCTGCGTTGACGTCAATATCGCTTCGAGATCGCTGGAGGGATCCTGTCGTTGACACAGATTTGGTACTAACTGTAGAGGCTTTGGTGGTAAAGGAAGAGAAGTCAGGAAGGACGGACCACGTGGGATTTCAAATGCATCCTGTTACATGCTGCTGCTCTGCTTTGCTCAGAGACAAACACTAAGTTGTAACATATGTTGGTGTCCATGGGCGGAAGGAAATAACTCACTGTCCCCAAGACGGGTTCATACAATGCAAAGAAAGACACAGTAAGCATGCCTGTGGGGTACCTACTACTGTTCCAGTCCGAGGAACAGAAAACTATAGGTCTAAGGTTATGGCCACATATGAAATAAAGTTAAGAGTTCCCATCTAGCTAAGCCCTCTCTGGAAACACACCCATTCCCAGCTTCTAAGAGCCACCAAACTGCTGCCCTCACTCTCCACTTATGTGAGCCTGGGAGCAAAAGGACTGGTGGCTGCAGGAGGGAAGCGGGAGGAAGAGAGGCCAGAGCCTGACTTCTGTCTGCCTAGCCATCCAGACAATGTCAACAACGGATCTGGTGTAGTGGAGCCCTGCCAAGGAGCCCAGCTGAGTGGGGATAAGTACAGGCCCCAGCTTCCTGTCACTGAACCAGCCTCAGGAGATGAGCAGCCTGCCCAGGGCAGGAGCAGGCCTCCACCGATGCAGTTCAGTGGCTCTGGTTCTGTGGCTGATCTCTTACCTCTGGATGTGGTGCTGCCGGTGGGACTTCTCTTGGCAGAAAGGGGCCGGCTGCAAAATGCACACACATGCATGTTACCAAAAGTGTACTTTATCTGCAGTGATATAACACAGCAAAGTGTGCCCGTGGAGAATGCCCAGGTCTTCAGAACTTTTCAGGCAATGCATTACTATACCAACCCCTCATCTGACAGAGAGAACAAAACAGTAACAGGGACAGAGGTCAAGTGCAGGGCAGACATGCAGGTGCAGTTCTGTGTCTTTCCAGCCCTGTCTCTGGGCAACGCTCACATGCTCTTGGAGGACTCCCTTATGTTACAGTTCACGATGCTCCATGGCTCGCTGTGCTGTGCCAGAGGAGAATGAGTCTGTGGCAGAGTCCAAGGCCACGTTTCTCACCTCCCGACAGTATCTGACCTAGAACTGGAATCTACCTTGACAGCTGGGAAGATTTAGCAAGTACCCAGGTGAAAACAATGTGCGCTTCTGTGTAGCAAACCTTTAATAGAGCAGACTGCACTGTGGGCGTCACAGCCAAGGCCCTTACTTGAGACTCTCCTGAGAGCTGGATGAGGATCGGTCTGACTGAGGCAGAGACACAATGCTGTCCGAGTTCTTCAGGTGGGACTGCAGGGCCTTCTGGTAGGAGGACTCCAGCGTGTGGTACAAGTGCTCTGCTTCTCGGCTGAAGTGACTGTGGAAACCCCAGTAGCATCTAGGAAAAAGACAAGCCTCGGGCTGGTCAGGACCCCACTGAGCGCAAGTGTACCTCATGCAACATTTTTGGGATTCGAGGCCTCCCTTTATCTGCTAGGAGGAGCAATGGGGCACAAGGCCAGAGAGCTAAAAAGGAGGCCTCGGATAAATCCTGGCTTTACAACGTACAGCTTAAATCTAAAAGGCCCTTTTACTTATTCACTGATGTGGTGGTGGGTGGAGAGGCCACAGCACATGTGGGGATGTGAGGAAAACTGTGGGAGTTAATTCTCTCCTTCCACTATGTAGGCTCCAGGGAAATTGCCTTTACAGGTTGAGCCATCTTGTTCCTTGCCTGCTTTTGATGCTGGAGAAGTAACAACTTCTCTGAGCTGTTGTCTCATTTATAAAATGGGAATTAAAGGTTCTAACTTGGAAGTCAGTAGGCCTCATGACCTCCAGGGAGGTACTGGACTGAGGGCCATAACCACACGACTGAAGCATTTTCGGTTCCACTGAGAGTCTGAAACTGGACATTATCACCACGCAACATTTTTGGATTTGAGGCCTCCATTTATCTCCCATGGTAACATGGTAAGGAACACCAAGTTGTATGGCTCTCAACAGCTCAGTAAATGAATACAGAGTGGGAACCAGCACTACTGACCCATTATTTCTCTTAAGTTTGAAAACAAGCATCCTATTGTCAACCTCAGTCCTACTTATATCTGTTTCACCTAGGCAACCACCTAAAGAGCAAAACATCAACAGAAACTTAGAGAAACATGTTAGAGTGGACTTCTGGAGTCACATTTAACAGCTATAATTAACAACATACGCTTGATGAACCAAGATGATTGAGTAAGGCAATTCATACAGTGGGTTGGGTCTGAGTGCTAAAATGGGCCAACAGCAACTTACTTTCTGGCTTCTATTCTTGCTTCAGAATCGGCATCGTGGATTCCTTTCTTTATCGTTTCCGCTAATACTGATATGTGTCTAGACATTTCGGAAAGAGAGTAGTAGTGGTCACTAAGCAGACAACTTTTAGTGGTGAAAATAGGCTTGTGGAATCAAGTTCAAAATAGCAATGAGGGTCTGGTGGCTTCATGCCAATGTTAGCCAAGTAAAACAAAACACTGTCTTCATGACACCAAAACACATCTCTGCTCTTTTCTCAGTTGGCGGGCAGCCTCAGTTTCTCAAAACCAGGGCTTCCGATTAGTTGCTTAGAAGTTAGAGCTGCGTCTATCACTATGATGAAAACCAACTGGCAAACTGTGATGCCCATTCTAAACTGTGGCACACTTCTCCTCCCACCTGCTGTCTCCAAACTCAGAGCGCAGGTACCTAAAACAGACGGGAGCTAAAACTATCAAAGAAAAAGAACAGCACGTGGTTGCTTAGAGGTCCTGACACAGCGCTACTTTTAAATTCTGATATGTAAAAGCAGTCAGCTACAGCCTGCTGTAAAAACAGCGCTGACCAGGACAGAGTGAGTCGTTCTGCAAGGCATCAGAAGGGGTCAGCAGTGCTCAACCCTCACTAAGCTGCAAACAGAACCTGCACCACTACTGCCCTCTACCGCGTAATAATGGTAATGCATGCTGCCAGCTGGAGGCATCTAAGTTTTGTTTCATTTTTCCTAAGACATGGCCCTTAGCCCAGGCTGGTGTTAAACTCCCAATGTATCTGAGGATAACCTTGAACTTTTGATCCTCCCTCCCTCCTCCATCTTCTCTCACTTGGGATTATAGGCACAGTTTATTTAAGACTGGGGATGGAACTCAGGGCTTCTCATATGCTAGGTAAGGACTCTACCAACTGAACCACACAAGCTCTATCATACTAGTATCTGGAAGGATGACATTCCCTAAAGCTTCTCCAGTATGAACTGGCTCACATCAGTAGAAACAATAGTCCCGTAGTGATGCGTGATTCACTCCTTCCTTAGAGAAGACGGGGTGGACGGCTTGCTGGGGCGCTCACCCCCACAACTCTCAGGCCAGAGGACAGCTCTGATTCACAGGGGCTCACCTTTCCAGTGAATGTGTCTGCCATTCTTGTAGAAGCAAATCTAAAAATTCAAAACAGCGCCTGAAATGTAACAAGAAACACAGAACTTAGTAAGGTGCCTGCTGATGAAACTAAACAGCTTTTCACTTCAGTCAGTCTATCCTTTGAGTAGTTTTATTTAAGGGGGAGAAGAGGAAAAGGAGGAGTAAAGAAGAATCAGAAATAAATAAAGACTAGGCCAACAAGGTGGTTTTGAGGGTCTCACACACACACATGCACGCACGCACACACACACGTTCACACACACACATGCACGCACGCACACACACACGTTCACACACACACACACACACACATATGCACGCATGCAAGTGGGCGTCCACACACACACACGTTCACACACACATACACACACACACACGTGTTCACACACACACATACACACACACACACACACACATGCACGCATGCACGCACGGCAGAAGATAACTTCTGAGAGTCCTGGGGATGAACTCAGGTCGCACGGCTTGGCAAAAGCACCTTACCCACTGACCATCTTGCCAGCCACAGAACATTTTACTGATTTTGGACCAAGAAGCAGCTGTTACCGTGATCTTAAATAATAACAACTTCAAATTTGAAACTTTATCCATGGAAGGCGATCTGGGGATCATCTTGCTTTTTAGATGCTGACAAGATAATCAGGAGGAACTTTGAACACGTACCTTCTAACTGCGACAGACTTCGAGGTACAGTTGCTTGTTATGACAGGAATTAGCCGAGGGATGTGCGTGTGCTGCGGAGAGGGGTGAAAACAGGGTGAGCACTGGAACACAGACCGGACAAGACACAACAGACTGACCACACGGCACATGGGTGCTCGGTCTAAAATGTCTGCTGGAGAAGGGAACAGAATCCCCTGAAATGTCACACACAGGCCACTAGAGAACTGCAGAGGCAGGACAGACAACAGGATGCCACCTGAATCAGTCTGGAGTCACAGCAGTCTGAGGCAGGAGGCCTAATGCATGCTAGCAGCTGAGACAGTGTACGTTCATAGGGCTCTTCATGCTGAGCCATCCTGACACTACTCAATGGAAAAATACAGTGGCTCTGGTTTTAATATTACAAGCAAGGGCAAACACATACAGAAAGAATGAAAATAATACTAAACATCCTTTGGAGATAGAGTATATCCTTCAGAGTTTCAATTTTTTTAAAAATTACATTTATTTATTTACTCTGTGTATGTGCATGAGTGTGTGTGTGTGTGTGTGTGTGTGTGCGCGTGTGTGTGAGGACACATGTGCAGAAGTCAGCAGCAACTTGTGAGAGTTGGAGCGCCCTCCACCACGTGGGTCCTGAGGATTGAACTTGGGTCCTCAGGCTTGGTGGTAGGCAGCTGCCTGAGGGTGGCAGAGGAGGATGAACCACTCTTCCTGAAAACACACATGAGGATTATCAACACCTGGCTGCTGCTCATATTAAAGAGTTAGAAAAGTTAAGCGAAGAAAGAGTTCCAGTTCCTTGCATGCTGCAATTCATAAAATGAGTTTCAGGTAAGCAGAAGCCTTAAGCACAAGTAGCTAACATGGAAGAACAGAGTGATGGAGGGGAGAGAGTCAAGTACTTAGAACCAAAGGAAGGTTGACAAAGGCGTGCCTGTCAGTGGCTGCGCCAGCCCACAAGGCATAACACAAATCCTGCAGTTTGGACGCCCCCATCGTGGGAGAGAGAGAATGCTGCAGGGGCAAACAGATGGCAATGGCACAGACACACCCTCGTGGGGAGGGCCTGTTACATCCCATCAGCCAGTGGGATCTACCACTCTTGTCCTTTATAGGTGGCCCCATGACATACTTACCCGAATGATTAGCCTCACAGCTACAACACCAGAAGTAGCCATAATTTTGGCACTGTTTGGGATTAAATTAAAGATAGTTGGCATAATGGCTTCAGCTCCATGATCAAACTTATTTCCCAGAACTGATGACAGATGCCTGCAACAAGAAAGGACCAGCTGTAGTCACGTTCTCACACACAGGGAAACACAGAGACTCTCAACAGTTGACAGCCCTCCTTCACAGTTCTCTTAGAGATAAAAGGTCGAAGACACCTCAAAATGTTCAAGCAAAGAACCTGGTGAAGCCATCAGCCAACAAATGTTTGTTAACAATTTCCAAATAAGTATTACAAGAGCAAAATCAACCCTGCCAAGACCAAAGATGCACTAATAAACACAGAGCATGAACCCAATGCTTGCCCTGTCTGATTTTATTTTTGTTTTACATATAAAACATGATGCCAGGATCTGCATACCCTAAAACTTTATACAATTACACTTTATACAATTACAATGCTTGCCAGCTGCTGTGACTACTGCTTTAATATTCTGACGCATGCAAACTCAGCATTGAAGTTTAGCTAAAGCTAAGACAGTATTGCAGTCCTGTTGTTCTCTCTCTCTCTCTCTCTCTCTCTCTCTCTCTCTCTCTCTCTCTCTCCCTCTCTCTCTCTCCAGTCCTGAGTACTGCAGGGCTCTGCACGACAGGCATGCACTCCAGCACTGCCGGCACCCACAGGCCTGCATTTACTTCATTGCTACAGCACTCTTGAAGAAACAAACACGAGGCCTAACGCACATATACCCTGGAGGCCAAAGTCATGAAACGAGCTCACAGACAGAATTCCATAGGATTTCATTTTTCTATTAGTAGTACAATAGAGGCATCAGAGATATGTCAGTGAGTATAATTTAAAATCCAACACTGTACATAACTGGCAAGCAGCTACTCTACCAGTATGGACAGAAGTATTAACAGGCTAGGGTCTTGCAGACCAGTTAGAGGTAACCCTGCTGACATGCCCGAGTAGTTATCTCTAAAGCTCAGGAGAGGCTACAACACCGTGCGGGTAAATGGAGCGCATCGCACGCAGTCCTTACCCCAATGTGATGCAAGCTTCCCGCACTACCTGAGACCGCAGGTCCTTAGCAGAGAGTTTGAAGGCTCCATCCAGAAGACGCAAGTGTTGAAAGAAGTTATCGTACTCGGCAGCCCCAGCCAAGAGCAACGACCTCATCTTTTTTAGCTAAAGAGACAAGAAAAGTCAGATGTGTGAGAAACATTGTTAAACACTGAATCTACATAACAAAAAAGCCATCAATATAATATAAACATAAAAGTTAACTGATAATAGGAACGATTTTTTTTAAAGAAAAGATTTGTGTGTATAGTTGTGTGTGTGTGTAGTTTTGTGTGTGTACATATGACACATTTATGCAGGTGCCTGCTGAGGGCCAAGAGGGTGTCAGAGCCCCTGGAACTGGAGTGACAGGTGGTTATAAGCCACCTGATACGGATGCTGGGAACCAAGTGAAGGTCCTCTGTAAACTTAACTGCTGAATTTATATCTCTAGCCCCTAGAAACTATCTTTGTAAGGACAACCCAACGTACAATGAACAAACTAAATCACAACTAAGACTCCATTTTAGAATGCAGTACCCATAAGTGATTTCCTTAAAAACATCCAGGTGTGTGTGTGCGCCGGCCCGAGTCTATGTGCAGCACACAGGAGCCATGGAGGCCAGAAAGGGGCACTTCTTCCCAGAACGGAGTATGAGCGGCTGTGCTCTGAACTGCTGAGCCAAGCCAGCTCTCCAGCCTTTAAGCCGCTGAGTTTTTCTTGGTTTTGTTTTTTGTTTGCTTGCTTTTTAGACCACATCTCTCTATGTAGCTCTGGTTGTCCTAGAACTCTCTATGAACACCAGGCTGGCTTTAAACTCATCTCCATGAGGCCTGCCTGCCTCTGCATGTGCCACCACTCCCAGCAACTTGGTATGTTTTAAAGACAAAAGTAGGGTTGCGTGTGGGAGTGCATGACCATTAAGTCCACAATTCTACATGCTAAAGCAGGAGATCCCAAGTTCAAAGCCAGCATGGGTTACACAGCATGTAATTTTTATCATTAATTCTTGTCAACTTGACATAAACTAGAGTCATCTGGAAAGAGGGAATCTCAGTTGCCTTCATCAGGTTGGCCTGTGGGTATGTTTTCGGGACATTTTCTTAGCTGATGATTGATGTGTGAGGGGCTAGCCCACTGCAGGCAGTAACGCCCCGGAGCAGGAGGTCCTGGGCTCTATCAGAAAGCAGGCTGAGCAAACATGACACCAGCAGCAGCACCCCTCCAGTCTCTGCTTCAGATCCTCCAGGTTCCTGCTTCCAGTCCTGCCCTAGCCTCCTTTAGCAGTGGACTAGAACCCGTGAGACAAATAAACCCTCCTTTTCCAAGCTGCTCTTTGTCATGGGGTCTGTGCAGCAACAGAAAGCGAACGAGGATGTAGTGAGACCACTTTGAAACAAACTGAGAAACCAAAACTCACAGCAAACAATAAAACCAAGTGAGGTGATTTACTACAAAAGTAAAACGCACAGATGGTAACTGATGTGCAAAGTGTTGCTATGCATGGAAGTAAGTGAACATGCAAACAAATGTAACGGAGCACAGGACAGCGGCACTCACAGCATTGACTCTCTGTTCCCAGTCATGCTTGTCATCTGACAGGATTTCTCTAATTTTGTTTATGGATTCCTCGAGGTCTCGGCTGGAGTAAATCTGGAAGCAAAATTAATTTATATTTTAAAAAAGACAATGTACAGAATTAAGATGATTTTTAAATACATGAAGTTAAGGAAGTATAATAAAAGAAACTCTCACTCCACGTGAGGAATTCTCCGGGTATGTTCACCTTAGTGAGCCCATACCCACAATCAACGGGAACCCTAGATTTGCTGCCTTGTGTACACAACCTTGCTCTGTTCATCTTTACTGGAAATGTAGCAAGGGAGTTTGTGTACAAGAGAAAGAAGGCAACAGGGATGCATTAGTCATTTTTCATTTTTTAAAAAAACTTATTACTGAATACGCATGGGGGGACAAGAGGTGGGGCAAGTGTACCATGGTGCATTGCAACTTGAAGCAACCACTCATCGTCCCCTGTGAGATTCAGGAATCAAATGCAGGCCATCAGGTGTCCTAAGCATCGCCTAACAGGCTCTAACTATCATCCTGAGCCAGCACGCAATCATCTGAGAAGGAAGCATCAATTGAGGGACTGCCTAAGTTAGACTGGTCGGTGGGAATGCTGGTGTGGAATTGTCTTGATTGTTGATTGATGCAGAAGGGCCCAGCCCACTATATTAGCACCAGAGCAGGGGTGCCTGGACTGTCCTAGAAAGCTAGTTAAGCATGAACCTGAGAGAAAGCCATCATTCCTGCTGTACTTCACTGGTTGTGAGTAAATTTCCTGGGTAGGTAGAGTTGTGAGAACAGTGTTGCAAGCCCGCCATTTACTTCCCGGCTTGACCTCCCGCAGTGATGGGACGTGATCTGGAATGAGCCAAATAGATCCTCTCCTTTGCTACTGCTTGTGGTCAATGGAAGGGAAAACACTGCACCAGCTCTTTAACTCTCACTTAACACTTTCAAATCTACTCACACACTGCTTCTCAGTCCTACTGAGGCCAAGGAAGAACCTAAGCCCGTGGAGCCTGCCACCTGATGGGCACCATGGCCCCAGGAGGCAAGGAGAGCTGCAGGAGGCGACCTAGCAAGTGCGGCAGGAAATCACAGCATGGCACAGAGAATCAGCCCTAGTCAGAACAGAGGATACAGGCAGAGGGCAGGCCCCAGTCCTTCATTTGTTAAGTGGAGCACCAAAGATAGTGTAAACCAGGTTTCTACGAACCACGCTCTTCAGTGTTTTAGGTGTCAAAACCTAGTTCACATTTCCAAGAAAAAAAAATCTTAAATATACGTCTTTCTTCTCTAACCAATCACCAATGTCTCTTTTCTGTGACCTGATAAACTAACTTCCTGCACAGACACATCTTTCCTGTTCTTCTGGAGACATCAAACGGGACCAGGCCTTCTGTTCTTGTCAGACACTTACAGGGCTCCCACATTCTCTAGTCTGTACCTGAGGTTTCACACTGAAAGGTAAAGGACTCTGCAGTGGGATCACGCTCTGGACATGAGTGATCCCCAAGGCCCACTGTGTGGAAAGGTGAGGAGCCGGGGGTGTGGCTGACGGGCGGTGGGCCCTTTAAGGCCTTCGATCCGTGAGGAGGCAATTCTGAGAGGGTTGTTATGAGAGCCAGGGCTGACTCCACCCAGGCCTCTCTCTGCTGGTCTGACAGGAGCTGCCTGCTGTCCCATGGCCGTCTACCCGACACCATGAAGCACTATGGTCAAGGTGTGATTCTTGAGCCTGCTCCATATACTCTGTACTTTGGGGCTCCAGAGTTATGAGCCGAATGGATCTTTTCACTTTAAAACCCTAGCTGCCCCAGGCTGTCACTGCTGTAACACAGAGCTAACTGGTATAGGTTCCAGGTATTTGAAAAATAAAATCTAAAGACTTTCTAACTTGATCTCAAAAAAAAAAGATTTAGTTATTTATTTTTCTTGTGTGCCTGTGTATGTGCTGTGCATGTGTCACATTTGTAGGTTCCTGCGGAACACAGAAGAGGGTGTTATATATGCTAGAGCTGGGGTTACAGGCAGTTATGAGCACCCCAATATGAGTGCTGGGAACAAAACTCCAGTCTTCTGTAAGAACAGCAAGAGCTCCAAACCACAAAGCCATTTCTCGAGTCACTACCCTGCCTTCAACAGCAGCACAGACACACTGACCTGCACTACGGGCACATCATCAAAGGCTTTAATAAAATCCTCTTCATCCACAGCACCAGCACCTTCTTTTGCAGCTGTTAAAACAAAGATAGTATGAACTCAACATGGTAAAAACATACTACAGAACTGCACATATACACAACTGAAACTGTATTCTGGAACATTTAAAGTACATAAAAACAGATTGATTTCATTTATGTGTATGAGCTTATGTGTAGTTGTGTGCACTGTGCGTGGGTGCGCACAGAGGCCAGAGAGCACTGGAGCCTCTGAGCTGCTCACAAGCAGTTGTGGACCACCTGATGTGAGCGCCAGATGCCAACTCTGCTCCTCTGCAAGAGCAGCCAAGACACTCACAGCTGAGCCATCTCTCTGGTCCCTCACATCTTTATTTAGCTATCAGTTCAAGTTTCTCCCACAAAGCTGAGTTAAAATGCCTCGTAGCTGGGAGGTGGTGGTGCACATCTTTAATCCCAACAATCAGGAGGCAAAGCCAGGAGGATCTCTGTGAGTTTGAGGCCAGCCTGGTCTACAGAGTGAGTTCCAGGATAGTTAGGGCTGTTACACAGAGAAACCCTGCCTCAAAAAACCGAGGGGGAAAAAAATCCTTGTACACTTAAAACAAAGGCAAATCTGGCCACATGGGGCTTGCTTCCAGGAGGACTGGTGAGGAAAATGTATTTGGATCACGTTGAGAATGTCTGACCTCTCTGTGCTGGCACAGGAAGAAATGACAGCTTCCAGATGCCAGGCATGGGAGTGAACCCCATACATGACAACTTTGTTTTGTTTTATTCCTTGTGCTCATCCTTGAAGTCCCAGCAGTGACATATATAGATTAGCATGTCTGCTCTCTTATCAGACATGTGACTTGCTTTTAGGGCCCTGCTGGACCCGCTAGAGAAAATAGGACAACAAACAGACAGCCCAGGTGGCGGTAGATGTGCTCACACGACAGGCAGCGATGCAGGGCCGAGGGCTCCTCGCGCTTTGCCGTGGTAGAACAGTGAGAGTGTGGGAGGAGCTGTGGCCTCTGAGCCCACAGAAGTCACAGACCAGGACGAAAGCACTCGGGGTCACGGTGCTAAACAAAGGATGAGGGCACAGCTGAGGGCAAGACAGACCCAGGGGAGACTTTGGCAGGGAGGGGGGCTGTGGGTGACAGGTGGGCAGGAAAGCAGCAACCAGATCACGTAGGAACTGTCTTCTCCTTGTTTATGGAGCTGGCATTACTCAAGGGAAGACCAAGAATAGAAAAATGCATTAGGGGAAAGCAGAAGGGCAGGGGAGATGGCTTAGCAGACAGAGGAACTTGCCACCGAGGCTGACAATCTGAATTGCTCCCTGAAATCCACATCACAGAAGCAAAGAACTGACGCCCCAAAGTTGTCCTCTGACCTCTGCAATCATGCCAAGGTATACAGATGTGTGTATGCACATACGTGTTCATACACACACACACACACACACACACACACACACACGGTCTTGATACATGCTTCAGGGGAGGTGAATGAGACATGACAATATTCCCCTTCACAATAGCTGAAGAGATGGCTCAGAGGTCAAGAGCGTTTACTGCTCTTGCAGAGAACCCAGACTGGTTTACAATCATCTGTAACTCTAGTTCCAGTGGACCTTATGCTGCAGGAACAAGATATGCACACAGTGACATGCATACATGCAAGCAAACATTCATGCACATAAAACAAAAGTAAAGAAATCTCTTAAAATAGTGAATTTTATGTTAAATAAATTCAACAGTAAAAACAACTAGCTTTCACTGAGCCTACTCTGGCTTTCACAGCTGCGGGATTCTAGCCACCTCCCCACCCTCAACCCCAAGACATAGCCATCAGTGAACATGGTTTTAAAGCAAGAGACACAATGTTTTAGAGGCAATAAGAAAAAGGCATGTAAATTTAAAAACGCGACAGCAAAAAAGGTATAAGACAAGGAGTTATTGGGGAGGAGAGTTCCAGGGACTGAACTCTGTGGTCACCTTTCCCTGCTGAGCCATCTCGCTGGCCCTCCGACTGTTTATTTACAAACACGCACGCTGATCTTCACAAGGGAAATTGCTACCTGTATGAACATATCATATTCTCACGGCTTTCAATCTGGCTTCTGGTCTTAACAAACAGATTTGGTAACATGCCCTATGGCTTGGGGTATGTTCTCGATCTTCATCTTAGGGCTAGGCTTTCCTCTGGACTGTCTAGTGGCTGGACTCACTAGAATGTGGTGAGCCCACCTGGCATCTCAACTGCATTGCCAGCTCATCAGCATCAACAGAGAAGTACCAGGCCAATCAAAGACTGCAAGCAAGAATGTGCATGCGGGGCGAGTTCATGCCTAGGGGGCCTGGTGGGCAAGTTCTATGACCAAAGATCCCAGAACACAGCACAGGGTGTCACACACGATGTGGTCTTACCTGAAGACTTAGATCCAAGACTGGAGGACACAAGCCGACGGGTTGTCCCCATGCTAACATTCCTCCGGGAACTAGACGGGGCCTTGGATGAGGAGGAGCTGGCAGAAGAAGGCCTGTTTCCATCCACAGAATCCTCATCATCAAAGTTTTTATCTAAAACAGAAGCACAGAAGCCACAATTTAAAAACTATGTTTTCACTGGGTGGCGATGGTGGTGCACGCCTTTAACCCCAGCACTCGAGAGGCACAGGCAGGTGGAGCTCTGTGAATTCGAGGTCAGCCTGGTCTACAAAGCAAGTTCCAGGATAGTCAGGGCTGTTATACTGAGAAACCCTGTCTCAAAAAACCAAAAAAATCAAAACAAAATTCTATGTTTTCACCTATACATAGAACAATCAATAACAATCTTTTAAACAATCTTAAAAAGACAGGTTTGCATGACTGACTGGTATGTAAGGTCCTGGGAAAGCCTAGAATGCAACCACGAAGATGGTGTTTACCTTCCGGGAGCTAGCATGCTTGCCCACTCCAATCCCTTCTCTACACATTGTTTTTCCATTTGTAGGTTTTATTATGTGTGTTTGTGTGTGCACGCACGCGCGCGCGCACACACACACACACTCATGCATGCACATGCACAAATGCGGGCACACAGTGCATATGAGGACAGTCTCAAGTGTCTGCTCACCTCCCACCTTGTTTGACAGAGATGCTCTTCAGCGTTTTTCCACTGCTGTCCCATGAACCCCGGGACCTCCCTGCCTCTGGCTCCCGTCTCCTCACAGGAGTGCTGGGATTACAGAGATTTGTGCTATTTGTCCAGCTTTTACGTGGGTTCTGGGGATTTGAACTCAAGTTCTCATACTTGAACCCCAAGTGCTTGATGCATTGAGACATCTCCCTAACCCCATTTTCCAGCCTCCCCCCACCACACAAACACAGGGCCTTGCTCTGTAGCCCAGGCTGGCCTCAAATTCATGATCCTGAAAGTCAGGATTACTGGTGTGTACCATCATGCCTTGGAGCACACGCATTTTTAAAAGAAGTATAGCTGGACAATACACCTCCTTAAAATACTAATTTATTTCATTTTTTTTCTTGTGACAAGGTATTTTTCACAAAGCTATTTTTAATGGCTGTAAAGTATTGTGGGTGGAAATGTCTCACTAAGACAGCCACTGTCAGGTAGTCTCACCATTAGAGACAGGGCTGTAAACTGGCCAGATGACTCGGTGGGTAGAGCCACCTGCCACCATGCCCAATGACCTGAATTGGATCCCCAATATCCATATGTTGAAGGGACAGAACTAACACACACAAATTGTCCTCTGACCTCCACAGAAGCACCATGGCACCTATACTCATGAATATGAGCGTGCACGCACACACACACATGCGTGTGTACACACACAAATTAAGTAAATAAGCAAAAAATGCAAAAACAGAGAAGGAAATATGACTGGAACAAACACCTTCCAATAACTAGTTTTTTTGTTGGAATTTTAACCAATTTTACGAAACCCCACAAGCAACATTACTGGGTCAAACAGCATGAAAGTGCTTGCTGACACTACTGCGTTTATCCTCTGAGAGCCACGGACGTGCTCATTTGCTGGAAAGTCAGGGAAGGGCCTATTCTGCCCCACCTCTATGGACGCTGATTACCATTCACAACATGCCAGTTAGATGGAGGAAAAGCACGCTTTCTAGGCTGTGTCTCCTTTAATGAAGCTGAGTATTTTTTCATTACATTACTCATGTTTAAACCTTCAAACCAGCAAGGCTTATTACTGCCTCTGCTGCATTCAAAATTAAAAAGAAAACCTATCTGTGGTTCTCAAAATTCAATCTATACTCATTTTAGATATGTTTTATTATTATTATTGTATGTGGGTGGCCATGCATGTGCCATGGTGCACATGTGGTCAGAGGACAACTTTTGGAAAATAGTTCTCTGTTTCATTGTGGGCTGGGGGATGAATTCAAGGTGTCAGGCTTAGAGCAAGCACTTTTATACTGAACTGCCTCGCCAGCCCCATTTATAAACATTTTAATTATACAAATTAAAGTTTGTGAGCCAAATTCCAAGGGCTTGTGCGTCATTCAGGATGCTAACATGAACTTGGAGAGAATAAGAATGAAAAGGAAGACTAACATCAGTCAGCTAACAATGACTGCCGAGACAGAAGACAGAGTAACATATGGCAGAGGGTTGGCAAGGGCTCAGCAGGTAGACACTGGCTGCCAGGCCTAACAGTCTGAGTCAATCATGGAACACACACAGAACTGGTCATCACAAGTTGTCTTCTAACCTTCACATGTGTTCCACAGCACTGCCTGTGTGCATGGGTGTGTACACACACACACACCAAAAAAAAATATTAAACACAATGGGTAGCACCTAATAAAAATTGATCTTTCACCATAAATACATGCACATACATGCACTCACTCCAACGCCTCCTACACACAAATTAAAAGAAGACCATGCCCAATTAAATTCCTTTACACTTACATGCACACACACATTTATTTAGGAAGGTTATAAAATAGTAGGTTTTCATATGGGTTTTTCAGACATTCTTACAGTTGGTTATCCCTTTTCCAAGTTATGTGGGCTAATTCCCCTGGAACTGATGGTCAGAGGTGTCCCACAGACCCCCAAAACAATACAGACTATAGTCATTCTCTTGACTGTCTGCAAGAACTTGATGGTAAACCCTCTCACTGCAGACACCACAGACAATAGCCACAGGGCACGGAGATATCACTTTGTACTGACAGGAAGCTTCCTCCCTGGTGGCTAGTACTGGAAAGTGCCGTGTGGGCTGCTGGGGTTGGCAGGGAGTCAGAAAGAGTCTTACTGGGCTATGAACCAAGTGACTACAATAATGATCAGCATGGCAGGATAGCCCATGGGTACAACAGTGGCATGAATGTTATGGAGTAACCAAGTACTTTCTAACTAGATATCAGGCCTGCTCCACAGGAGGCGATGCATGCCTGGTACTGCAAATCTGCCCAAGAACTGATGGCTGGGCGCTAGCTCACAGGCCTCAGCGGGTGAACCTACAGCTATTGTTTTGTTAAATGAATCTGTATCAATCTGTTGTCTAAATTCTTATCTTTCTACTAATGGATTAGTGCAGTTCTCAGACCTCAACAAAGAAATTTCTTTGAGCAGTGGGTGGTGGTTAACACAGAAATGCACAACTCACCAAAGCACAGAGACTAAATGACTGGAGAGTGCCCAGCCACAAATGGGACATTTAAATCATACCCTCCCCAAGACCGAGGCACCATCATGGACGGGGCAGAAAGATCCCAGAACTGAGATTAGACTGGAGCAAAGCGGCATCTACTGCAAGTAACAGGTCACTGCACAAGACCCACACAAGATCAAGCCAGCCAGCACTCCAGCATGGAGTCCCCACTGCAACTGAGGAGCTGGCTTCTGCGGGGAGGGAACCAGTTCTCCGGAGGAGAGGCTCCAGTGGATGGCCCACCACCACAAGTATACTGGCAGCAGAAACTGGAGTTGGTGGGTTATTAAATTAAATTTAAAAAAACCACAAAGTTGGGGGAGCAGAGAGATGGCAATGCGCCTGGGAGGGTTTAACGAGGAGCTGGGGTGAATATGATCTAAGTATAGTGTATGAATTTCTAAGTGAATAAAATATTAATTTTTCCAAAGGAGAAGGAGGAGGAGGGAGGGAAAGAGGGAGTGAGTTCGGACAATCAGAAAGGAGCCCAGTTTCAGTAAACTGGAAAATTCTCATCTGTAGAAAGGATCATTCCTTAAAAGGCAAATGGGCCATTTACGTAAGTGACTGGTGATAGAGAGGCTCCAGAGCTATCCCAGATACAGAGAGGCAGTCCTGGGTTCTTGACATATTTCAGTATTGCTCAACTAAATCACAATGCACACTGCTACCTGTCAGCAACTGTTTTGTTTTTGTTTTACAAGATAGGATCTCACTATGTAGCTCTGGCTGTCCTGGAACTCACTGTATAGACCAGGCTGGCCTGGAACTCAGAGATCTGGCAGCCTCTGCCCCTGCCTCCTGAGTGCTGGGATTAAAGGCCTCCTCCACTACATCTTGAATGCCCAGTTTCTTCAGGGTGTCAGCAGACTGCTTTTGGAGTAAACGTGTGGAAAGGAGTATTTCTAACTGTGCAAGCTTTGCTATCACAGTAGGTTAAGGTTTTCACACAGTGTATGCAGCCCACAGAAAATGGTCTTCCAGAAATATACATTCTCCTGACCCGAAGAAAGAATCCACTCTATCTTCAGCCACCAGTGGGAACACACGACTTTCCCACAGCTACTCCCGCTGTCTTGATCTCAGGATAGGAACCAGGAGTAAGCTAACTGAAACCTTCAGTCTCCAGCCACCTTCAATTCTTCAAAGTCGCTTGAGCCTCATCTCTCCTCCCACAGCACTAGGACAAGACATTCCAAAGGCTTGTGAGGTTTCCACTGAAAGGCAGTGAAGCTCTCGCCTAACCCTCAGTAACCCGCTCCTGGCAAGTCCGTTCAGATGAACCTGAGGTCAAACTGAAAGATCTGCTGGTGGGAAACAGCAGCAGATCAGTGTGCCTCATGGAAGCATGGAGAGAAGATGAGTCTAAAAAAACAGAGAGGATCTTGGGGAAAAAGAAAAGGCCAGAGTACGCAGTCATCCGTGAACTTAGAGCCAAACTAGCAGAATGAGAGCTACCAGTACAGCACAGCCTCCTGAGAACTGGATCTTAACCAGGAAGTATGGTGACACCAAGTTCCACACAAATGTTGTGCAGCAAAAATAATGAACAAGGGTCAGCAAGATGTCTTAGCAGTTCAGGGTGGTTGCTGAGCAAGCCCTGAGTTTGATCCCAGGAACCCATACAAAGGAGGAATCAGTTTCAGAAAGCTGTCCTCTGACTTCACACACACACACACACACACACACACACACACACACACACACACACACAATCAATCAACTCGTAAAAGAACAGTCAGAAAGACCATCCTGTTCCTAGAGGTGTGTGACAGTGACTAGAGGTGAGGAGAGATGTCAGTCTGACACAGAAATCAAGTCTGGCTGACGAAGTCAGAACTGTAAACTCTGAGTTCTTCTGGAGAGCTTCAACATTCTCATTCAGAAGAA